CTAATGTTAAAATTTGGTAAGCCTTGGGGCGCCTGGGTGGCTCAGTCGGTTAAGCATCCGACTTCAGCTCAGGTCATGATCTCACACTCTGTGAGTTCAAGTTCACATCGGGCTGGGCTCTGTGCCACAACTTCAGAGCCTGAGCCGCATCTCTGTGTCTCCCCTCTCCTCTCTGCCCCTCCCCTGCTCATGCTCTGTTTCTCTCTGTCTCAAAAATAAATAAAAACATTAAAAATAAATAAATAAAATTTGGTAAGCCAAGACTGGAGCTTGAACATGCTGTGCTGGTACCTTAAAATAATTGTCTTGCTCCAAAAGTTTGGACATTGTCTCTCAGTTCTTCCTGCTTACATACCCTGAAGCTGGTTGCCTCCTCTGATGGCCCCATGGTTTTGTTTTCTATGTACAGCTTCCATAATAAGAGCAAGCAAAATGCCCGCTGCCTGGGGCTGGGACATAATCACAGTGTGTTTGCCAGGGCTAGATCTCATTGTGCAAGGGATGTTTATAGACACAGGTGGTCTGGGCTGAGCAGTCATCCAAGAGGAATTTATTCAACATTCGCTGGGTATTTTCTCTCTCTGTGCTAGGCTTCATGGGAAGATAATGTCCAATAAGACGTGATCCCTGTCTCCGAAAAGCATCCAGTCTATGGGAGAGACAGCCTTGTAAATGTGGAGCACAAAATGCCGGGGAGTCACAGAGGAGCACATGATGGGCAGCAGGGAGTGGGGCAGATGTCAGGGAAGGCTCTGGATGCTTAAGTGGAGTTTTGAAAGACATAGACGAATTAACTTGATGAAGGGGAAATGGGCAGTTGAGGCAGGCAAAAGTATCTAAAAAGACCAGAACAGTGGTAAGAAGAGCACAGTGTATTCAAGGAACTGCTGGTCATCCAGAATGTCTGGAGCTAAGGCAGTGGGTGGGGGTCTAGCACAAGATGAGCCTGGAGAAGTTGACCAGATCCTGAAGCTCCTGTGTCCTGTGAGCTGATCCAAAGGGCCTTGGTTCTGAAAGCTCTAGGGAGCCCGGGAGGATTCATAATGCTTCAAACCAATGTTTCTTGCAGCCCTTCTAGTTCCTGAGGTCCAGAGAGTTCAGAGGTAGCCCTGTGAATGTGAGGGATATGAGCCTGCTCAGTGGACGTTACCAACGACACCATTAAGTCTGGGGCCTAGACAGTCACTTTCTAAAGAACACTGCTGGGTACTGTGGGGATGCACATCTTGCCAGATCATGGCACCCACCATGAAGCACTTAGGCTTGTCATAGAGAATAAGAGGTAGACGATATCAAGGTCTCAAAGAATATGTGGCTTGGCTTGGCTCCTGATGCAGACAATGACCTTTAAGCCACCTCTTCTCTTTCTGTGCCCTGAGCCTCTCCTTCAGCAGAACAGGGACAAAAATGCTGCCACCACCGTGCCACATTAGAATTGCCAAGACCAGAGTGTTCCATGCAGCACAAAGCAAGTTCTCCTTAGAACACGAAGCCTTTTGAAATAAAGTTTGGAGAAATCAGAAATGTTTAACGCATGCATTTTGTTCTTTAGTTGACAGCAGGAAGATTGGCATACCTGTGTCTCAGAGCAAGGGCTGATTCAAGAGCCACCCATGACTTCCCAGGGCCTGAGCTGGCTGCTGGAGCTGGGGTTAGGGGTAACTGGGAGGCTGCCATCTTATCTGAGCTGGAAGTAGGGGAGGACAGGGTTGGTGTAGAGGGCAGCAGAGCATCTCACCAACTAGCAGGTTCCTGCTGTCCTCACAGGGTTGTGAGGATTGAGATAATCCATGCAAAGGGCTTACACAGCGCCTGACACGTGGTGAGCCTCCAGTCATCTATGCTAGTGGTTACTGCTAACGTGTATATATTGTGAGGTCAGCTCTGAACTCATCGGGCCTTTCTGTATGGAGCACATATTCTTTGAGACCTTGATATCGTCTACCTCTTATTCTCTATTACAAGCCTAAGTGCTTCATGGTGGGTGCCATGATCTGGCAAGATGTGCATCCCCACAGTACCCAGCAGTGTTCTTTAGCCTTCCTTGCCCCTCTTCTGAGATGGCACTGGCCTTATAGTAGTTCATGTCAGGGTCTCACTTGCTGAACTGTGAGCTCCTCAAGGGAATGAACCTATATACTGCACCCGGAAACACTCATGTTTAGCTTGACCCTGCTTCAAGTCCTCAGCACTTGCTGTTCTCTCTACCTGGGGCTTATCCTCAACTCATGTATCAACTACCACCTCTGCTGAGTGGGCTCTCCTGACCACTAAGTTACTGCCTCCACTCCACATTCTAGCACACTATTTTTTTTTTTTTAATTTTCATAGCACTACCAGTATTTGAAATAATCTTACTGGTTTATTCATTTGTCTTCTCCACAAGGAGATAAGCTCCATGAAAACAGGGGCCTTATTTATCTTGTCTGTCGTATTCCCCAGTTTTCCTAGAACTGTGCTTGGCATACAATAGGTGCTCAAAAAATATTAACGGATGCTGAATCAATGCTAAATCAAATGACTGGGGGTGGGCATTTATACCTCTCCTCCAAGACTGAATAAGGTCAGGGTTGTAGAGACTACAAAAAACAGAACATGTGGTTCCTGCTTCCAAACTGGTTGAAGAAAGAAGCAGAAGAACTAAGACCAGGTGCCAGATATGAAGCACAATGGCAGAGGGAAAAGAGACTCAGGCTGCGGCCAGAACACAGCTTGAGGGCAGGGACCATCCTACTCATCTTCCTACATGGCGGTTGGAGTAAGCGCTCTGTGAGTGCCTGCTGAATTGTCCTGGGCAGACAGCCCACTGTGGTAATGCCAGCGGACTGGTGAGATACAGACACTGTGTAGAAGCTGGCCTTGGTTTTGCAGATATTACTACTCAGTAAGTTCCAATCTGTGGATGTGGAGAGATTCACTTAAATTCAGAGTATTTAAATATAGGTACACATACAAGATCATGTTTTGGCTAAAATCCATGTTATTTATTTATTCAACAAACAACTCAGTATCATCTATGTTCCAGGCCATGTCCTTGGCACTGGGAATGGAGATAAACTCTGGCCCTCAAGGAGCTCACAGTCTAGTGGGGAAAAAAAGATACATACATAAATAATTATACTTTAAAGTACATAAAGGGAGACCACTATGGGAGGCAAGAGCAAAGGAACCAATCCTAAGGTTAATGTCCGTAGGAAAGAAAGATCTGGCTAACGGGAGGGTTTTTTTTGTGAAGAACAGATAAGGCAAAGGTTCTCAAAGTGTGACTGGTGAATTACCTACATCCCAATCATCTGGAGCACATCTTAAACGCAGATTCCCAGCACCTTCTGAAAAGATTATGATTCAGCAGGGTGGGGGACCTGAGAATCTGCATTTTAAAGTGCTCTAAGTAATTCTACTGCAACTTAAAGTTTGAGAACTTGTGAGATAAGGTTTGCTCTTTACACCAGAATGAAGAACGATTTCCGCATCTGAAACACTGATTTGGTCTTTAATGACAGGAGGGGGAGTAGAAAAGAGTGGTATTGACATTTATGAAGCTCTACTGTAGTCTATGTGTAAGTCTGTTTAAATTCTCACAGTAATCCTACGAGGTAGATATTATTATGGTCCACATTTTACAGATGGAGAAATAGAATCAAAGGCTTTAGATAATTCGTTCAACATTACAGAGCTAATGAATCCCAACACGACATCTGAGCCCAGATTCACTTAACTCTAAAACTCGTCCACTTCCCGTAACACCATGTCGCACCAGGGTACAAATTTACTGACTGTCACAATTTTCTTTTAGTTCTTTGCCAGATCTTGCCAGGTAAGTTATAAAGAGCAGCCAGATGGCATTCTGACCATGTCCAATATAACTGTCCATGTATACATTCTTTGCTGGCAAGTGGGGATATAGAGCAAAGCTGGGAGGAACGAGCAGCCAATTAATTCTTATTTCTTCTCCCATCATCTTATTTCTTCTCACACTCTGGTGGAGGTGTTATAAAAATGTACTATGGCCAAGAAGTGGGTCCATCCAGAGGGAAAAGCACACATCGCTGGATACCCATGAAAGCAACTCCAACCTGATGTCAAAAATTCCTGGGACTCGAAACATCCAGACTCAAGTTTCTCAAAAAATGAACTGTCAGAACAGAGGCAGATCCAGAATTTGCATTAGGAAAGAGCTCAACCTTTTTTTTTTTTTTTTAATTTTTTTTTCAACGTTTTTTATTTATTTTTGGGACAGAGAGAGACAGAGCATGAACGGGGAGGGGCAGAGAGAGAGGGAGACACAGAATCGGAAACAGTCTCCAGGCTCCGAGCCATCAGCCCAGAGCCCGACGCGGGGCTCGAACTCACGGACCGCGAGATCGTGACCTGGCTGAAGTCGGACGCTTAACCGACTGTGCCACCCAGGCGCCCCAAGAGCTCAACCTTTAGAGAAACTGTGAAAGGCTAGCAGCTTTTTCAGCTTTAAATACACACGATCTCTTTCTACACACAGACTCAGAAGTACAACAAAACAGACACAGCTCAGAAAACAATGGAAAGACCAATCCCATCTCTAGAGCTTAGAGACAGGCCCAACCTATAAACAATCTTCCATAATAAAGAACATATACACACACAGTCTAAAACTCCTGGTTACATTCTCACTTACCAATTCAGTGTCACACAGGCAAACCGCAGGCAGGAGCGGCAAAGTTGGAGCACATCAGATCAGGAAAAGGAAAGGCATAATAAAGGGGGTCGATGACAATACTGGGGGGGCTCTGGTACCTCAGATTCAGAAGGCTGGTGTGTAACCACCACCCTCTTCTATCACTGAGCTGGGAGCCACAACAATGACACTACAAACCAAATGTGAGTTTTCAGTGCTGGAGAGCTCCTTTCTTGTATTTGGCGTTTCAAGCAACTGCTGAGTCCAAAGATAGGTTTTGATCAGTCCACTGATTCACACTGACACCAAGGACAGCACAGAGGTTAGATTTCACTGTTTAGTGTAAAAAGACTGTAAGCCAGACTTTATTTTATTGCTACATTTTCCCCACACCCAATCTGGGAACATTTGCTTCCACCTACTTTTTCATTTAATACTGGCATGGTTTAGAGTTGTTTAAAACAAACAAAGCAAAACATGCAAATCTGGACCAATCCTTTCCTTACAGAAGTGTTGATTTGTTGACACTGTACTGACTCCCCCCCTCCAAATACACAGCTTCTAGAGGAGGAGGTACCACAAACTATGGTTTAACAGTACGCAGGCACCATACTGGTGTATTTAACTACACTTGAAATCTACAAGACCCTCCAAACCAGCTACACTAAAGGCAACTCTGGGGACATCTACATTAAGTCTTAATCCTGATAGCAATATCTGGTTGTTCTAGATTCTAAACAGGATATTTGGGCTATGCCTTTGGTCAGCCAAGGGGCACACAGGAAGAGTATGCAAAGCCCACGTCTAACTACAGCAGGTCGTCAAGCTTATTACCCTGTCACAAGTTTATACATATGAGGAACTAATCATTTGGGAGCTGTACGGTGCATAGCACTATTACACTGTGTAAAGTCAAATCAACCATCCTGTGGATCCTTAGCTCTCTCTGGTTGTGACCTCAAACACTTAAAAAGGAAAGCTTAAATACGCTGGCAGAGAATTCTCAGAATGTCTGCTACCTTCATTCCTGAATATCAAGTAAAAGGGCTCACCTCCATGACTACTACTTGCAATAAGCACACAGGTCAACTCATTAGAGACTGCTCCTTATATCTGTTAAGCTCCAAAAGTTCAAGGGGGCAGGTGGGCTTTAAAAAACTATCCAGGGCTGAGCAGATGCTGTAAGCCAATCCTTACAGCTCTAAGTCTTATCCTGGTTCTGGGCACATTTCAGCTCTGCTCCAAGTCCACTTTGCTCCAATTCAGCGATGACAGACATATATTTGAATTCATTTGGTCTGAAGTTAAAGGTCTCCACTAACTCGTAGGTCTCCTTCCGGTCAGTGGCATAGAAGAGCTGAACTTGGTTGGCAATGCACTGTGCCTCAGCAACATTCTGTAAGGTAGAAAGAGTAATGAGGTCCTTCCCTGCACAGGGCCATAAAGCTCTATCTCTGAGTCCTGTGACAGGTGGAGGGGCCTTACCCAGGAGTCACTGCTTCCAGAAAGCTTCTCTGACTCCTTGACATCCAAGTCTTTGTTAGGTGCCCCTTGTCTGTGCACCCAAATTACACCATGCTGACCTCTACCATAGTATGTATCATATTAAATTGTATGTCCTTTTTTTCCCTCTTTTGCTTTTTTTGTGTCTTCCCTAGTATGAATTCCTCAAAGTATGTGCTTGCTCTACATTCCTGCACATGGTCATATCTGGTCAATGTTTGCTAAATAAAGTAACAAATATGTCAAAAATTTTCCTTTTCATTCAGTTCCTCAGTAACTGTTAGGTATATCTCAAGGGAGGGAAAAAGAGCAATAGTTACCCACCTCCAAGAACCAGTTTGTGAGTCAGTACTAAGTTCTTGACTAACCAGACATACTCTTGAATAAACACTGTTCCTGAAACCACCTCAGTCAGAAAACTAGTGCCAAAGTCAGCTGCGTGGTTCTACAGTTTGTCCACAAATTCTAAGACACTTTTTTCTTTGAGGGAGCCTAGTTTCCCTTTCCTTGAGTGTAGGCTGTACGTACTGACTTGCTTCTTCCAAATGGACCACGGTGAAATGAAGAATGACTTCTACTAAGTCACAGAAGACACTGCAGCTTGTGTCTTGCTATCCCTCTTGAATTGCTCTGGGGAAAGTCAGTTGCCAAAGTCATTAGGACATTTAAGTAGCCCTATGAAGAAGCCGATGTGGCAAGGAAATGAGGCTTCTTGCCAACAGCCATGCCACGGGGTTAGAAGTGGGTCGTTGAGCCCAATCAACCTTCTTTTCAGATGACTACAGCCTGAGCGAACATCCTGGCAACTTCATGAGAGACTCTATGCCCAGAGCCATCCAATTGTACTGCTCCTGAATTCCTGACCCACAGAAACTGTGAGGTAATAAATTTTTTTGTTTTAAGCCACTAAATTTTGGAATAATTTGCTATGCAAATCTACCAGCAAAGCTCCACGGAAGAGAAGGGTCCACCTTGTCTAAAGCTCAGCTGTGGGGAAATGGTACACTCACTCCATGTAACAGAGATAGGGTCAGGACACAAGCTACACTCTCAAAACCTTACAAAAGAACTACCTCAAACAACTATTACTTTTGCTTCCTATGCAATCCTCTAGTTCTACCTGGTCAGAGGCACTTACTCATCATCACTGTGTTCATATGGCCAAAACCCAACTGCAAAAGATAGTGGGAAATTCCCACTAAAACTAACTGCCAAAAGTGTGCTATGTCTAGCTACAGAATGATGAAAATGGATTTATGAATACCATAGGCTGCTTTACCTCCATTTCCTCCCATGGGGCTTTCAGGTCATTTCTCACAGGCAGGGACTAATCTCTGAGACTGGATTTTCAATCAAAAGCCTTCTTCCAAAACTCTGGGTATTTCAAATTAATAGAATTTTAGAGCTGGAAGGAGCCTCAGAGATCACCCAGTCTTCATTTAATAGGCCAGGGAGTAAAAGAAGATGAGGTTCAGGGATGGGTCCAAGGTCATATGACTAGCAAATGGCAGAGCCAGGACCAGTCCTCTGGACTCCTAGACTGGTACTCCCTCTACTTCATCCTGATACTGTTTCTGGTGGGGCAAGATAATGAAGACTGGTCAAAACTGATAACTACTTCATCAATTTTACCTTTCCTCTACTCAAACATGCCTCAAGAGTAAACCATTTCTAAAGCAAGTGCACTGCCATAATTGGAGGCAGATACCACTACTTTCTGGTCCTATGAACTATAGGGACCTCCAATTATCAACTTTAATTCAAGGCTCAGAATAGTGGAGGTAAAGGTAGTTTTAGCTGTATTCATTTTAGAACAGTGCTGTCCACACTGCAGAGTGCTAGGGGCTCTGTGGAGGTGGCTCAGGTCCCTTTACCTGTGTCAGCTGTTATATCAGAGGTTTTACATAATAAGATTTTGTTTGGATAAAGGGTTCTAACCACTAGTATGGGAGACATGTGTATTTGTCTCTCACAGAGGGTTATGGAAAGCCCCCTCCCCCTGCCTTAGGTCTCAATATGAAGCAATAGTCTCCCTTTCTAGGACCCAAGAAGATAAATATATTCATTCCTATGTTGCTCAATAAGGAGGTATATTAAATAGACTGATTCCTCCCTTTCTTTCAATCTTCATAGATACTATCAACTTACCAAATGCTGTCCATTTTACTATCTACTTTTAGGGCCCCTCTCTCTCCATCACCCTTACTACTCCACTTCAGGTCTTCCCTATCTCTTGCTAACACTATTGCAACTGTCTTCTAAATGATCATACTGACTAGGCTAGAACTAAAATATATTTAGGAAGCAAATAATTAAGGTAAATGGCCTTGAAGTCCAACTCTTTATGGGTCACTCCCTGTTCAAAAACCTTTAATGACACTTTCATGTTCTCAGGATAAAGCCAAACCTCTACACACAACCCACCAAATGTTCCTTTTAATATATGTTATATCAAAAATCATATATATGTATAAAAAATATCATATATATAGATATATATATATCATATATATATATATAAATAAAATACCAAACTGTAATACCTCCAGTCATTTTATGCCTCCGAGCATCATGTACTTTTGCTATTCCCTTTGTCTGGAACATTCTCCCTCACCTCCCTTTTTATCTGGCTAAATTCCTGCTCATCTTTGAGATTCAGCCCAGGGATCTAGGATCTCCTTCCTCCTCCTGGGCCAGGTAACAAACACCCCCTGCATAAGCATCCCAGTACTCTACCCTAAGCACTGACTGCATTCCAATGAAATCATCTATTGACACAGAGGTGGAACCAAATAAGGTTTTCAAATATTCTACTAAATTTCGGCATTAAAGTTATCAGTTCTCAATTCTGTATGTTTCTCTTCATTTGCCTTACTGTTTTTGGAAGTACTATGCCAAAGTGCAAATTCATGAAAGAGCAGCAAGGGATCATATATTCATATTACATCTCTAGATTTCCCATCTCGGAGTCACAGGCTCTACAATAAACTCTAACATGTCTAGTTCTGTACTGTGAGTAAGAAACTCACAGTCACATTGATTTCTATGAGGCAAATGTATATTGTTTGGCATGCTGTCCAATATTATAAGGCCAGGAAGCAAATTTTAATCTTGATGAGGCCTGTGCTGCAGTTTGAGACCACCAGAGTGAGGTGGTAAAAATGCCAGAGCAGAAGGGCCTCCTGTGACCTCTAGAGTCCACACTTTCAATATGGTTAGATGCTGGGCTTTGCTAAAGTCCAGAAAAGAAAGTCTCTGTGTTACTCCCTCCTTCCTGTGGTCAAATCTTAAACCTTGTCGTTAGCAGTAACTATATCCCCTCCAAATCTCAATTTGAAACATCCACAGTTGGTCTATATTTTCCTATCTTTTAAGCTCACTCCCACCTTCAAAAATCTTTTAACGCCACCAGAACTCACAATTCTTATGGTCTCTAAACCTTCCTTATGTTTTCACTTCCCTCTTTAGCCAGCTTGCATTCCACAGTCAGTAATTATAATCATTCTTTTGCACTCACCTTTAACTTCCCAGTCTCTTATACTTCATTAGACCACTTGGCTGAACTATAACCCCAGATAAATCCAAATCTCAGCCCTCTCTCTGTGCCTGTACCCACACAGCCAGTCTCTCTTTCATTCTCCTAGACCACATGTTGACAAACACTTTCTGTAAAAGGACACATGGCTAGTATCTGAGGTTCTCCTGGCCCTACAGTCTCTGTTGCAACTACTTAACTCTGATGTGGACCTAAAGCAGCCATAGATAATATATAAATAATAAGTATGGCTGTGTTCCAATAAAACTTTATTTATAGGCACTGAAATTTGAATTTCAAACACTTTTCATAGGCCATGAAATATTACTCTTCTTTAGTTCTGCTCCTTCCCCCTCCAACCATGTAAAGATATAGAAAACATTTTTAACTCACGGCCCTTCTAAAAGCAGATAATGCATTGGATTTGGCCCACAGGCCGTGGTTGCCAACTCTGTCCTGGAAAACCATTTCACTTTCTCTTTTCCACTCCATTGTCCAACACCTATTCTTCCATCTTCCCTCTCAGCTGATGACCTTTCTTTCTAAGCAATCTAGAGAGAACTTCTTCAAGATACCACCCACACCTTTATCCACTTAACTGTATTTGTGTCTGTATATATTCTGGCTTCTCTCCTATTATGATATTTCTGGCAAAGATCAATCCCTCATTTCCAGACTTGCCCACTCAAAAATACTTCAACAATTCTCTCCTCTTTCTCCTGAATTATCAGTATTTCCCTCTCTACTGAATCTTTCCACCTGCATATAAATATAATGTTATTTCTCTCATATTTAAAACAAAAACATTGTTGTCCCCACATCTCCCACTCCAGCTGGTGTCTCATTCTCTCCTTCCCTTCACAGAACCATCCTTGAAAAGACTTGTTTATGCTTACTCTTTGTAATTTTTCTTCCCATTCTCTCTTAAATGTACTCCAATGTTGCTTTTGTCCTACCACTCCTCTGAAACTGTCCTTAAAAAGCTCGCTAATGACTTCCATGTTGTGACATCTAGTAAATTCTCAGTCTTCATCTCATTTGCACTACCAGCAAGTGAGACTTGGCCAGTTGAGCATTCCCTATTCCTTGAGACATTACATCTTAGCTTTCAGGGCATTTTACCATCTTAGTTTTCCTATCTCACTGACTATTCCTTTTAAATCTTTGCTGAAGCTTCCTCATGTCTCCAGGCTCAGTTCTTAGACCTCTTTTCTTTTTATCTTCATTTACTTCCTTGGTGATTGCATTCAGTCTCATGGTTTTGTTTTTGTTTTTAATGTTTATTTATTTACTGTGAGAGAGGAGACAATTCCACACACAGCTCAATCTCACAAACCCACAGACCATGAGATCATGACCTGAGCCGAAATCAAGAGGTGGATGTGCAACTGCCTGAGCCATCCAGGTGCCCCCAGTCTCATGGTTTTAAATAATAATCTGCCTGCTGACAACTCCCATATTTATATCTCCAGCCTGGACCTCCCCCCTGAACTCCAGACTCACTGGAGTTCTACTGCCTACTGCTTGGATATCTAAAAGTTATCTCAGATTTAATATATCCAAAATTGAGCTCCAGATCTTCCTCTCAAATATGTTCTTCCTGAAATCTTATCTATCTAAGTTAATGGCAACTCCATTCTCTTGGATAGGATTTTGGGTGACTGCCAGTTGAGTGTGATGGTGGAAAGAAGAATGGGAGAAATAGGACTGAACAGTTTTAGGGATAATAGGGAAGAAGAGTTCCAGTTCTGGTTCCAGACTTGGGGCTTACTGCTACTATGAGATACCAGCTGAGTGTCCTCACTTTTTCCTTCTCTGTAAGTGGCTGGTAAAGAGAGAGAGGAAAAATAAATGGGTGCTGTAATGAATCTTGGGGGGAAGAGGCACTAAAGTGTCCACTGTCTTGAGGACATCCTGAACTTAAATCCTGCCAAATAAGAGAGACAGAGATGAGCAAGGACTAGACAAACCAGCTGTACAAGAACCATAAAACTGCTCCTGGCCCTGGATATACAGAAAGAACAAACACAATGGACATCATTACCTATGGACATATGGTTGATGCTCTACAGGAAAAGGAGGAAGAGAAATCACTATGTATGATGAAGGTAGTACACATGAACAGTGTGCAGGAAGATAAGAGATTGAGAACTATTCTAGACTTTGAACTCTTCCTTATACTTAAGAAGCCAATTGCTTGTCCACACTCTCTTACTTGAAACCCTTCGGGCCAGATGTGTTTTGGAGTCAGAATTATTGTATTCTATAAAGGCGATAGGTACATTAGGTAACACCCCATAATCAAACACATTAATATTTCCTTAGTAAAATGTATGACTATTCTACATCAAGTGGGATTAATAAGGACTATAAGTGGCCTTACATCAGTTTAAATGAAGATTTAGCTACCAAGTAAGTTCTAGTCAGGTAAGGTTTTGTGACCAAATGAATTATGAGGAAACCTTGTTTTCAGAGCTTATGGACTTCAAAATTGTGAATAAGTGATTGAGTTAGTGATTGCACTAACTTCAACTTGGAGGAGCTCTTGCGAGACAAAATTATGACCAACTTTAAGTAAGAAACAAGTACATGTAGGTCTCTGGAATTTTACCTCTCATGATCTTTGGCAGAAGGATAGTACCTTCAGGGCCACCAAGTAAATCCAAAGAGATGAAAGTTAATTCTTACCAGAAATGTGGTATCCATTTCTGCTGTCATCAGCACTATGCCCTTTTCCTCCTTAAGTTCAGGGTAGTGATATAAAACCAACTGGCTGGCTGCAGCATCCCCTCGGGTCTGTAAGGACAAACACTTATCAAGGCTCAATAAGGTACCACCACACAAAACTGCAATTTCAGAGCAATAGAGAGTCTGGAGGAAATTTGGGCTCTTAACAGCCCCTTGGGTGGCCAGTGAGTCAGAGGCCTGGCCACCTGGTCAGGCTTGCCAAGGCACCGTGAAACTGACAGTTTGCACAGTGTTATTTGTGTCTTCAATTGAAAAGGGTTTGGCTTTTTTCCCAGAAAATGTTTACAGTAGGCAGTGAATCCTTCATCATGGCCATATATTTAAAAACAAAACGGCACAAGCAGCTACCAAATCAAGTTCTAAAGAAAGCAATATGCCTGCGTAATTGCCACTTTTATGGACTAGTGCATTTCACAGTTGAAATCTACTCCCCTTGGCTGGCTCTGAAGACTGAGCTCTTTTAAGCTGCAGCAAACAGCTGGAGAGTTTGCACATGGGCCAGATTTGTAATGTGCAGTTTTAAAATATAATCTGAGTGGGAGATAGGGGGGAAAAGAAGAATGGGAACATCATAATTTCATGAAGAGTGGAGAGGGTAGTGGTTATCAGACCTCAGTCCAGACTAGGAACAGAGGCTGGGTTCAAAGTTAAAGCCTTCATATAGTACAGGAGGAAACAACTATACATTTAAAAAAGATCTCTGGGTTTCATCTCTAAATTTCAGCAAAAGTCTTTCTAACTATCAATACCTAACTATTGCTAGGGTTCAGCCTCTTAGTACCCCCCCCAATATACTTCAAATATATTGCTCATTTTGATCATAATTATGTTTCTGGATTTTTTTCTTATACTTGTCTAAGAGCTTCAGGAGGGCAAGGACCTTGTCTCACAGGTCTCCAAGTCCGAACATCATCCCTAACACAGTTGCATAATGGTTCAGTTCACAGAGTTTTGAGTCAATCAAATCTAGCCCTGGCACCTATTACCACACTCATCTATATTAGCTTCCTAACTTCCTAGCATGGGCTCATGTTCTTCCCTCTAGAGAAATAATGACAGTAACTATCTCATGGGACATTTGTGAAGATTAAAAAACATGATGTATATAAAACACCTGGCATATAGTAAGTACATCAAGGGTTGGCTATTATAGTATGTGCCCAATAAATGTTATTTTTAATTCATCCACAAAAAAAAGTAAAGTCTGCCCCCTCATTCTGCTTTTTCTCTCCCACCCACACCCTGCCTTTGTTTTTGTTACCAAACATGATACAATTTTAGCATATAATCACATGGGATACAGAAATGAAGAAACTCTTATTCTATCTTGTACTTCTTTTTCCCCTGTGTTCAAAGCCATTATAACACAAGCTTGTGGATTTGGGGGCCAGATTTGGCCTCCAAATATATAATATAAATCCTAGTTATGATCTGATTTAAACTACTGACTTCTTTTTTAAAAGTTTCAAATGCTTTAGATTGAATTTCTTAATTTAATATTTGGGAATAAAACAAAGAAAGAGAAAGGATGGAAGGAAGCAAACAAAATGACACCTATGGAATGGAAACTATGCATCTAGCATCTTGGAAAGTGCTGACTTGGTTAATAAAACACAAGCAGGACGTGGAATCTACCTTAGGGTTAAAAAGATAACCATAATAGTTCACCCATGTTTGTTAAGTGAGGCACATGCAGCAAATGGTATAGAGGTCTGGGGAAGAGACACAAGAGACCAGATGCAGTCAGAAAATACGTTTTGGGGTCTTTTCCAATTTCTAGGTATTGACTAGGGTCTAGACAGCTAGCCCGATACACAAAGTATGACAATTCGTCAATACCAAAGCAAATACTGCTGGGAGTTAGTAGATACTGTGTCCTCAAACCTCAGCAAGGGCTCATAGTCCCACAAAGGAAGACTCCTCTTCTAGGGGATGAGTACAGGCCACCTACCTGAATATTTATAAGTGCAGTGAAGTGGAGTTCAGTACCTGTCCATTGTCCTACAAAGAACTCATAACCTTCCCTTCTTGGTAGTGCACATAGAAACTATGAGAAATAAATACACAAGGATATAGATGAATAAATAAAATCATTTGTTCTACGTCCAACCACTTATATCATTTGCTTCATTTCTTCACTGTTTGGTCTTTAAACACTTTTTAAATTATGAAATTTATAAATGATAATCTAACAAATAGTCATATACTTCCCAATCCACCTAAGAATGAAAGCATTAGAGATCCAATTGAAGGTTTCTTTCTCTGTCACCCATTCTAATCCCATTCCAGAGTAACATTTATCCTGCATTTGGTGTCTGTCATTCTCTTTGAGGTTTTTATACTTTAAAGTGCATGCACATATCCATAAACAAGAAATATGTATTACATGTTTAAAAACCTGTTGCATGTTTAAAAATTTAAATCTTACCAAACTATACGTACACTTGGCAACTTGCTTTTTTCACTTCACACTATACTTCTGAGATTTGTCTATGTTGATAAATAAAACTCTAACTCATTAATTTTCACTGTTGTATGAAATTCTACTCTAGAAGTTTATCACAATTTATCTGTTCTTCTACTGATAATACGAGTTTTTCAATTTGTAAACTTTCTAATGCTGAATTAACTTTTGTTCCAATTATTACAATTGCTTTCTATTCTATCATTTGAGGCTGATACTGGAGCATGGTTCTAAACACAAAGAAATGATTAGTTTTAGGTTTAAGATGTTTAGAATTGGGGATGAGTGGTAAAGAGAATGGTGCCAGAAAAAAACAAAGTAAAAACAGTCCAATGCATGTTAGTCACGAACTGTCCCCTTACGACCAACCACTCAGGCTCTATTTTATTTTTATTAGATGACATAAACTCAGTGCCTAGCTAACAGGCAACTGATTTGATTTCTGTCACTCCTGGTCAGGGTACATTTTCTAGAATTTTGTAAAAATGGAACCAAATAATCTATACTTCTTTTGTATGATTTCTTTCATTCTGTGTAATTGTTCTGTGATCTATCCATGTTTTTGCATGTATCAATAGTTCATTCCTCCTTTTTTTAATGTTTATTTTTTGAAAGAGAGAGAGAGAGAGCATGAGCGAGTGGGGGAGGGGCAGAGAGAGAGAGGGAGACACAGAATCTGAAATAGGCTCTAGGTTCTAAGCTGTCAGCACACAGCTCGATGCAGGGCTCAAATGCATGAACTGTGAGAAAATGACTTGAGCTGAGGTCAGATACTTAACCAACTGAGCTGCCCAATAGTTCATTTGTTCTTATTGCTGAATATTATCCCACTGTATATGTATATATACACATAGCACCCCCACCGCCAATTTCTTTATGTACCTGTGATAGATTTGGGTATCTTTTAATATTTGGTTATTACAAATAAAGCTGCTATGAACATTTGTGTTATATGAACATATGCTTTCAATTCTTGGGAAAATATCTAGGGAGTAGAATAACGGGGTGGTATGTCAGGTATATGTTTAACTTTTAAAGAATCTGTCAGTCTGTTTTCTAAAGTGTTTTTACCGTTTTACACAATTATATCAGCAGTATATGAGAGTTCCAGTTATTCCACTTCCTCACCAACACTTGGTATAGTCAGTGTTTTTAATTCTGGTCATTTTAGTGGTATCTCACTGTGGTTTTAATTTGCAGTTCCCATTATGAATAATAATATTGAGCATCTTTTCAGGTGCTTATCTGCCATTCCACTTCACTGGTGAATTGTTTGAATCTTTTGCCCATTTTTTAATTGGGTTGCCTGTCTTCTTAAGTTGTATGAGTTTTTTTTTTTTTTAATTTTTTTTTTTCAACATTTATTTATTTTTGGGACAGAGAGAGACAGAGCATGAACGGGGGAGGGGCAGAGAGAGAGGGAGACACAGAATCGGAAACAGGCTCCAGGCTCTGAGCCATCAGCCCAGAGCCTGACGTGGGGCTCGAACTCACGGACCGCGAGATCGTGACCTGGCTGAAGTCGGACGCTTAACCGACTGCACCACCCAGGCGCCCCAAGTTGTATGAGTTTTTAATATATTCCTAGGTACAAGTCACTTGTCGATACATGTCTTGCAAATATTTTCTCCCAGTCTGTGGCTTGTCTTTTCAAATTTCATAACAATGTCTTTTGAAAAGTAGAGTTTTATTTTTTATTTATTGTGGTAAAGTATATGTAACATAAAAGTTATCATTTTAATTATTCTTAATTTTTTTAATGCTTATTTTATTACTTATTTTTGAGAGAGAGAGTGTGAGTGGGGGAGGAGCAGAGAGAGGGAGACAGAGAATCTGAAGCAGGCTCTAGGTTCTGAGCTATCAGCACAGAGCCTGATGTGGGCTTGAACTCCTGAACTGTGAGATCATGACCTAAGCTGAAGTTGGATGCTCAACTGACTAAGCCACCCAGAAGCCCCACATTTTAACTATTCTTAAGTTTACAATTTAGTGGTATCAAGTACATTCGCACTGTTGTACAACCATCACCACCATCCATCTCCACTTTTTTAAATTTTTCCAGACTAAAACCCCATACCCATTAAACGGGAACTCCTCATCCCCTTTTCCCCCATCCCCTGGCAACCATCATTCTACTTTCTGTCCATGAATTTGACTATTCTAGGTACCTACACCTATTCTAGATCTATAAGTGGAATCATACAGTATTTGTCCTTTTGTAACTGGTTTATTTCACTGAGTATAATGTCTTCAAGGTTCATTCACGTTGTAGCATGTGTCAGAATTTCCTTCCTTTTTAAGGCTAAATAATTTTCTATTGGGTGTATATACCACATTTTGTTTATTCATCCATCAGTGGACACTTGGATTGCTTCCATATTTGAGCTATTGGGACTAATGCTGCTATAAACATGAGAATACAGGTAGAAAATTTTAATTTTGATGAAATCTGATTTACTGATTTGTTTTTTCTTTTATAGTTTGGGCCTTTTGTGATATACTGAAGAAATCTCTGCCAAACTCAAGATCACTAACATTCAACCTAAGATTGCTTTTTTAAGAAGTTACATTTACATCTATTATCTATTTTGAGTTAATTTTTGGATACAGTATGAGGCAAGAGTAGAGATTCATTTTTTTGCATATGGAAAGCCAAATTGTTTTGTACCATTTGTTGAAGAGATTATCCTTTCCCCATTTAATTACCTTGGCACCTTTGCTAAAAAATAACTGACCGCACATGTTGGTCTATTTCTGGATTCTCTCTTCGGTTCTGTTGATCTATATGTCTATCTTTATGCCAATAACACATTGTCTTCATTATTGTAGCTTTATATTAATTCTTGAAATCATGAAATGTAAGTCCTCTAACTGTTCTTTTTTTCAAAATCATTTTGTTATTCTAGGTCCTCTGGACATCCAGATAATTTTTTAAAATCACTCTGTCAATTTCTTTAAAGAAAAAAAAGCCTACTGGGATTTTGACTGAGATATTTACTCTAGAGATCAATTTGGGGGGAAAGGACACCGATAGTGAGTCATTCAATTCATGACCATAGTATACATCTCTCCATTTACTTAGATGTTTTTATTTTCTCTCAGTAATGTTTGGAAAATCTATTTGAGAATCTTAGAAATTATTACAGACACCAAATCAGCTGGTCCACCTCACCAATTCCCTTTTCCTAAGGTCTTCTGGCAGCTCATTACTCCAGCAACAATCTCATAATTCCTTAGGCACATATAATCAGGATAGCATGGCCAAAATCAAAAAGAAACTGCCAATAAAATAGAACATTAAAGGAAGGTGAAATTATTAAGGTCTCAGGTGCTGCCTCCCACATTCGCTTATACTGAAAGAGATCCAAATCAGAAAGGGCTACACTGTGTCACAGGGCTAAAAAGCCAGAGACACTTATTGGGACAAATAATTCCCATGATTTCTTAAGGCTGAAAATCTCACTTATCAGTAGAGTCAGCATGTGAGCATCTTTCTTAAATAAACAGAACACTATAACATGTGAGATAGTATGGAGTATGAAGAGATTGGCTAGAAAATATCCTTATTTGGTAGAATTGATAAGCAATCCTCATACGACCACTACAAACTTACTGTTGGACAGGACTGAGCTCGGGTCCAGATCAAGTCAAACTTCTCTTCCTACAGGTCAGAAAAGAAGAAAATTCAAAAACAAGAAGACGTAAGGCCTCAACCACACTTAAATTCACCAATACTGAACTCTATTCAATATTACTAAAAATATCTCTTAAGTTCTATTATTTACAAATCCCTCTTATGACAGAGAGAAAAATGTGATGTTATGTTTTGCTGCTCGTTGTCAGAACTACACGTCAAGAGTGGATATTTCAAATGTTCCAAACTCTGCAAGGGACTCTGCCAAGTGCCACTGAGGCTGTCTGAGGGAGAGCCAAGAATGCCTGTTCAAACAATGAGTCGGTATTAGAGATCTAAAATATCACAAAAAATATAGATCCTTTTGGTTGTTGAGCTCATGAAGGGCAAGGGTATATACATGTAAGAGGTGGGGAAAAAATGATAGCAATACTCTCAGAGCAACCAAAAGGCCTGGCTTTATTTTTCCATCTCTAAGTTTACCTCCTTAATCTTAAACTCATACATGTAAATTCAGTATCTATTTGTGTGCTTGATATAACTTAACTTCAATGGCTTCCTCTTTAGGAAAGAAGAATAGTGGAAGAACTAACTGATAATCCAGTACATCAAATACTTCCTTATGGCAGAAGTCATTGTAAGGGCACCGAACCAGAAGAAGCCAGCAGCACCCCTTCCCAGACACAAACCTCAATGGTCAAGCAGTGGCCAGTGACTATCTCCAAGACAGCAATTTCAAGCAGGGAAAAAATAAAGAAAACACCACTTGCTAAGGGGAAATGCCAGAAAAAGCCTAGGAGGAGGCTCTAAGTCAGCTCAGTAATAGGTCACTTATAGACAAAAGGGGAAGAAAAGCTATGCTAGAGGCCCTGCCTGAAATTCCAACAGCGTGGCTGGGAAACACCAAAAAGAAGTAAAATACATTTGGAAATTGCTCAGCAACATGAACTTATACCATGCTCCCTTGCCAGAGACTTGAGTCTAAGAGGCATTTCTAAACCAGAAAGAGGGAAAACAAGAGCCATAAATATACCATATGGAGCTTCCAATCTTTGGTGTTTAGGGCATAATAAAAACCCTCAGAGCTATAAATGTAAGTTCTCAAGAGGCAATAAACATTGGAAAGTAAAGGCAACTGCCTGCTAAGGGTAGAGACCTGACCTTCATGTTATAACACTTTCATTTTCCCCTCCAAACTACTTACAGGAATAACTGCGTAGACTGTATCCTTTGCTGCAAAATACTGCTGCCAAATCTGTACAAAAAAGAGAGGGTGTCTGTGACATGTGGGTAATCTTTTCAACCTGCGCCAAGAAATGGTGACAGCTTTCATTGCTCAGAGTAATATGCTATTTGACAACAGGGAAGAAAACCCAACGTGATGCTTTTATTACTAGTACATGATTACAAAAAAGATTTAATACCATCTACTCTTCTAGATGATTAAACTGTAACTCTGTAACAAATTCCTGCTAGGAATGGACAAATGGATTCCATGATCTTGTTAATCATTTCTCTCAAGATGTGATGTGCCTGTATGTAACAGACATGCTCTTTTATCTTCTTTTTCCCTTCCCCAAACTCATATTCCCCAGCCAACTGTGGGCCTTGTCAGACAGCCAGGACATCAGTCATTCAGAACTCAGTGTCTGGAGTCAGGCAGACCTGGATGCAAATCCCAGCTCCAGTCATTTGCTGGCCATGCTACTTTGGGCAAATTATTAGAAATCACTATATAACATCAATATAATCATCAGTAAAATAGCAATAAAACCAACCTAACAGGATTGTTGTGAAGACTAGCTGAAATAAAGTAGGTTTGTGCTTAGCACAACAGAATTATAATGCAAACCAGAGACAAGGTGCTCTGAGGGCAACAAAGAGGCACTTAACCCAAGTTAGGGAATGAGTGCCAGAGGAAGGGATACTTTTGCTGCATCCTGAAGAATGAACAGGGGTTAGCTGGGTGAACAAGGAGGCTGGGAAGACAAACACCATAGAAGAGACATATTCTAAGCAGAGAATGACAGCATCGGCAAAGGCACAGAAGTTGGGGAAGGCATCGCAGCCAAGGTGACACCTGAGTGAGCTTTTGAAGAACAGGCCACCTTCCTTTAGAGATTCTCTGCTTTGTCAACATTTTCATTAAGATGGGTGAGACCTACAGTCAAAAAGAATGAAATCTTGCCATTTGCAACTACATGGAGGGAACTGGAGGGTATCATGCTAAGTGAAATTAGTCAGAGAAAGACAAAAATCATATGACTTCACTCATATGAGGACTTTAAGAGACAAAACATAAGGGATGAACATAAGGGAACATAAGATGAACATAAGGGAAGGGAAACAAAAATAATATAAAAACAGGGAGGGGGGAAAAAACAGAGAAGACTCATAAATATGGAGAACAAACTGAGGGTTACTGGAGGGGTTGTAGGAGGGGGGATGGGCTAAATAGGTAAGGGGCACTAAGGAATCTACTCCTGAAATCATTGTTGCAGTATATGCTAACTAATTTGGATGTAAATTTAAAAAAAATAAAAAAGAAATTAATAAAAAAAAAAAATTAAAAAAAAAAAAAAAGATGGGTGAGCCCTAACTGAAGACACTAATCAAAGTATGATCTAACCAACACAGAGTATAGAGGACTATTACCTTCTAGGACCTGGGCAAATCACTCTGTCAATGCAGCCTAAAGTTGCTTTGCCTTTTTTTTTTTTTTTTTTTTTTTTTTTTTTTTTTTTTTTTTTTTTTGCATGTCAGACACTGTCTTTTCATTTTAAGGACAGCACATCCAGCTATTTTTATTTAATCTATATTAGTAGATAGGTCATGAACCAACACTGAAATTTATAGAATGGACAGATGTTTACTAACACAGTTGATCTTGGTTACTCAAAATTCTTTTAACAAACACAAACTTATGTCTAAAATTGTAAGTCTGAATGATATTCACCACATGATCAAGCTGCTTGGGCCTGGCTTTTCTCTCTCCTAAAGGACATGCTTGGTGTCCACTTTCTATTGGCACTTCTTCCCAAAGACAGTTTGAGGTCTCCTACAGACTTTGCATAAGCCTCTATTAACAGAAGTTAGAACCTGTGCTGTTCTTATCTGTTTTTGTGTCTGTCCTTCTACTAGGTTAAAACTCCTTGAGAGTAAGGGATTCTCTCATTTAATTTATGGGTCTGACATACAGTCTGACATTTAATAGGTATTCAATAAATGCTTCTGCTGAAACAAATGATATAGCACCCGAAGAAAACTCGTGGCAACTGGCACAACTTCCGGAAAGGGAATATGAAGCAGAGTCAAACAGACAGGGGTCTGAGTCCCAGCTCTACCACTGACTAAGTTACTTAATCTTACAGTTTCCTCAGTTGTAAATTGGAAGTAATAGCACCTACTTTACAAGGCAGTTAGGAGAATTTAATGCAATAGTGCATATGAAGCATTAAGTACAGGACCTGACACACAGTCTACTGCTTTTATTATGATTTTGATTTTCTCAATATACCTAAAATAATTAATGGAATTACAAAGAATACCAATAGATCGATTATAGTCTAATTAGAGAGAAAAGAATCACAGACATGAAAATGTAAATAGCAATGCAAATCAAGGCATGTGGAATGACCAAACAGGCAGGATAGATGGTAAGTGCTTTGAAGTGTCCAGAAAGTTTCCTGAAGGAGAGCCTATAACAGAGGACTCTGAATGCTAAGCAAATGAATATGGGAAGTCACCGAACATTTGCAAGCGGGTTACTAACAAAATACTTATTTTTATTCATTTACTTAAAAATACAAATGTAGCACTCACTCTGTGCCAGGCACTGTTCTATATGCTTTATAAATATTAACTCATTTAATTCCTCAAATACCTCTAAGAGATAAGTACTGTTATTATCTTCACTTTACAGATAGGGAAACTAAGACCCAGAGAGATCAACTAACTTATCAAAGTCATTCATGTAGAGTGGCAGAGCCAGGACTTAAAACTGGCAGGTTGGCCTAAAGTCTGTGTTCTTAACCAATATACTATGCTTCTCCATAATGAAACTGGTAAGGTTATGAGAGGTGGAAAAGCAGCGAGAAACAAGAGCAGGGAAACCTATTCAGACAGGTAGTACAGCAAGCCAGGAAACGGTACTGATTATTTTATTTTTTGAGAGAGAGAAGGGAGTGCACATGAGCAGAGGAGGGGCAGAGAGAGGAAGAGAGAGAATCTTAAGCAGGCTCCACACCAGTGCAGAGCCTGGTGAGATCATGAGATCATGACCTGAGCAGAAATCAAGAGTTGGATGCTTAACGGACTAAGCCACTCAGGCACCCCAGTATGGATGATTTTAAATAAGATGTGGGCAACAGGAATGAAACAGAAAGGCGAAATGTGAGTTGGTGAGACATATAGGAGTAAAACCAATAAGGACAAGCTTTCTTATGCCACTCTTTTTCATGTAATTCATAACTTTTCCTTTCTATGACCACCTTTCATTTTGGCTAGAAAAAGGTATCAAGAAATGTATGCTGCTTTCTACTTCCAGATTTGGTTTACAGAGCACACATTTTCATAAAGTATGCCAATCCATTTTCATTCATTACCTGTCTTATTTCTTCTGCAGTTTTGTCTTTCACCATCTCAATGTTAAAGATTGAACTGAGAGTCTGGATGACAAAATAAAAGGCAATTAACATCCACAATTTAAAAAATAAAATAGCTTAGCTCTATCTATAAGCCTTGTCAGATGCAACATATCAGGACAGTGGAGCAGATCTTCGGTAAGTAGAAAACATGTATAAGAAAATCTGCATGCCCAGAGAAGTGAACCCCTAAGCCCAGGCAGATTTTCACAGTACTACTCCTGGAGAGTATCTATAAGTACTTTCTGAATGCTTCATCCTCACTAACGAGCACTACAGCACCTTGTAGCTGGTAAGAGAAGAAAATCTGGTTGTTACCTTAACTGCTATTCTACCAGAGGTGGCTCCTTATTTGCAAATTAAATGAGTGTAAACATGCTTTGATCTTTCAAAAAAATACTTCCTATAGAAAGAAAGGGTATCTTTATTTCTATATTACTGTATTTACTTCATATTTCCCATAGCACCCCCGGGACCCAGACTATGCTAGAGGTTATATCAAGGACATAAACATTTTTAGAAATATTTCTCATCTCCACAGTTGGAAAAAAAAAAATCGTCAAATTGCTGAACCACGGTAAATATGTTCAAATTTGCAGCCTCTTGTTATAGATGTTCCACATGACTCCAGACTTGGATCTTTAATTAGAAACCTACCTTGTCCTTAGTGAATCCTCTGCTCACAGGCTGTTTCCCCAAGGGGTCTGTCTGAAATACATGTTGAGACAGGATATTTATCTGTGCTTTACTCATAAGAAAAAGACCACTAAGCTAGGTGAAGGGCCCAATATCTCATTTTAGTAATTTGACACTACAGAACTCACTTTTCTCTATTCTATATAGTAACTGTACACACTGTTCGAAGAGTTATTGTTTGTGATATAACTTTTCTATGACTAAGCTTTTGAGATACAGAGATGAAAAAAGATTCTTTGTTAGTAACTACCATCTAATGGTACTGAGAGTCCATTCCATACCTGCCACTATGGACATGAGGGACTCCTTCCCAGAATGAGAGCTGCTTGGGTTTCCTGCGCTCTGCTCTCTCTGATCTGCACCATAGTGAGCCACAAAGAAGGCAAAAAATGAAAAAATGTATTTTCCAAGGCTACTTCTTATCTGTGACAGCACTTCTGATGGCAGCCATCCTCATCAGACTAGAGTGTTTTCCAGCACACACTCTTTTTAATTTTTTTTTTTAATCTTATTTTTGAGAGAGAGAGAGAACACGAGTAGGGGAGGAGCAGAGAGGGGGAGACACAGAATCTGAAGCAGGCTCCAGGCTTTGAGCTGTCAGCACAGAGCCTGACGCAGGGCTTGAACCATGAACCGTGAGATCATGACCCGAGCAGAAGTCAGACGCTTAACCGACTGAGCCACTCAGACGTCCCTCCAGCACATACTCTTAATATTCCCTCCATCAAATTAGTGATTATTTCTTCTCCTGCCCACTATTTCTGAGAAAGGCCACATCCAGGAAATCCTATTTTGAGATTTCTGATAGCATGGATGGTTTCTTCTGAGTCTTCCTCTAAATTTCTTAGTTCAAGTCCATGCCTTTCAGAAGGAGTATAATCTATACCTGGGATTCTGAGGCTAAAAAGCACTTTCTGCACAAAACCCTGTCTTTTGTTATTCTGTGCCTTCACAAATTCAAACCTTTCATAAATGATGCCCACAGACTGGTACCCATAAATTAGACAAAAGTCTGGTGTAGAAAAATCTATTGGATACACCCTGGTCTTTTTGGTCATACCCCTATCCTGTGGCAGCATCCTAATGCAGTCTGTCCTTCATATGTAAACTTTCCAGAAAAGAGAGAATGGATTTCATTTTCATACCACTCACCTTCATATGCGTCGTGAAAACAAAACAAATGAAGCCCTCCACCTGCACAGCGCCTTCTACTCTTACTCACTAAGCCTGATGTATTCTTTTCCCACAATGTCCCTCCAATCCATTCTTTATTTCCATTTGCACTTATAGAAATAACAAATTTAAGCTCTAAGTATAAGCTTAGTGTGTTTTATCTAACCCTAAGACACCTCTTAAGAAGCACCATTATTTGATGCATCAGAAAATGACGCTAACTAAATAAGATAGCATACTTTCAGATCACATCAATTTTAAGACAATTTTGGAAATGTTAAAATGTAAAAATAAAAAAAAAGTAGGCTTTGGAAATAATGAAATAAGGTAATTAAAATTATAGTTGAAAGTATGTGCCCAAAGTGTCAAGAGCACTTAATAAAACATTAAAATGGGTACATTAATACTCCCCTACAGATGCTTTGGAAATCTGTGTGGACAACTTTTCTATTATTACAATAGTTGACTGGATGAAGACATTTGTATTTATGGGAAGGGAAGGGGTGCCAGGAGCTGTGATCTTGCTGATGAGTTCCACATAATGAATTTTCCCTCATCCTGCACAACTTTTCAGGGTCTAGCCAAATATCCTTGTAAGTGAAAAACCTTTTTACAATTACTTGCATCTAGAATCTAATTCTTTCTTTCTTTCTTTCTTTCTTTCTTTCTTTCTTTCTTTCTTTCTTTCTTTCTCTCTTTCTTTCTCTCTTTCTCTCTTTCTCTCTCTCTCTCTCTCTCACTCTCTCTCTCTTTTTAACATGGCTTTAACAAACACTGAAATTTTCAGAAATGCAATTATTATGTAACTTAAAAGAAGGTTGTACATTATGGAATCTCATGAGGATCACTGAAAACAACATCGCTTATGATTTGGGAGTTTTTTTAAAGTAATAATGTAACACCCCATACCAGTCAATATTTGCTGCTTACGTCTTCATGGGGATTTCACATGGAGGCGAAAACCTCTGATGACTGCATTAGGTTTCACAGCATAGTTGTGCTCAAGAACTTAGATACTAAATTTCACTTATAAAAATTTCATTTGTATCATTCATTCATTATAGAAAAATATCATTCATATCATCTACTAAATAAGTATTTTATTAAAAAGTTCTTTCCTTTATATTACAGCTAGGGCATTATATTGATTTTTTCCCCCTGAAATTATGTGCACCAGTGGGTTACATTGTCTACATACCATTTCAGTATAGAAAATGGAGAATTAAAAAAACTTTTTTTTTAAAAAGGGGATGTTGGGTCTCATGTGGTAGGGAACCAATGACTCAGAGTTAAGAAAAGGCTTTGGGAATGGAGTCATTAGCCCTCTTCTATCTACCTAGATAGTAAAGACAGAAAGTCATTATTTACCCAGGAGTTGCCATAATTTAAATTACATTTTAGGGGCGCCTGGGTGGCTCAGTCGGTTAAGCATCCGGCTTTGGCTCAGGTCATGATCTCACGGTTTGTGAGTTCGAGTCCCACGTCAGGCTCTGTGCTGACAGTTCAGAGCCTGGAGCTTGTTTCAGATTCTGTGTCTCCCTCTCTCTCTGTTCCTCCCTCACTTGTGCTGTCTCTCTGTCTCAAAAAGAAATAAACATAAAAAAAAAATTAAATTACATTTTACTTACATTTTATCTTGTCATCATAAAGATGAATTTCTAACTCTGTTTACAAAAGGGGACAAAGAGCTTTCCCATGTCACATTAAAAGTTTATAGTATAGTAATATTTCCAAGAGCTACTGACTTGTAATCTTGGCACTATAAATGTTTATTATAGGAAATTATATTTGTTAAAATATTGTAGTAGAGACCTGTTTGTTCACATAAAGTTGTAAACTATATTTGTCATAGGAAGTTGAATTTGCTCCCCAACCTTGCAATGATTAACCCAGTACCTATTGCTTTTGTTCTAATGAACTCACTCAGTTATTAAAAAACTGAGCGGATTCTCTTAAAATTTAAAACACCTAAGGCAAAAAAAGTTATTCTCCAAATTAAATAAAAATCTCTCATGCTAAAACACAATGCAGAATCCCAATTTTCTACTGTATGTTATCTCAAGTCTACACCTGGATTACTGCATATCCTTCCTGGTGTTAGCCTCTCCCACTCCAATTTGTTCTTTTTCTTTTTTTTCCCCCAAGTTGTTCTATGTACCACTCTAGATTAGTATTTTTTTTTAATGTTTATTTTTGAGAGAGTACACGTATGTGTGTGTGCGTGCACGCACACACACACACGTGAGCAGGGAAGGGGCAGAGAGAGAGGGAGAGAGAGAGAGAATCACAAGTAGGTTCCACACTCAGCATGGGAGCCCAATGTGGGACTTGATCTCACGATGAGATCATGAGCTGAGCCAAAATCAAGAGTCTGAAGCTTAACTGACTGAGTGACCCAGGTGCCCCTAGGTTAGTATTTTTCAAATTATAGGTTGTGAAATCAATTTACTAGATTGTGACCAAAGGTTTTTAAAAGAAAATAAGATGCATTGCATGTACTAAAAGTAAGCATTGTTTTGTAAAAACTTTGCTTCAGTTATAATCATACACATGTGTGTACTGAACTGCAATGTAAAATATATTTCTTACTGTGGCTCATGATCAAAAAGTTTGAAAAGCACTGCATTAGATTTCAACATGCTTTCCCCCAGCTTTGATTCTTGTTTAAGGATAATAATAGCTATGAAGCACTTTTTTGTCCCCTGATCCCTACAGCCCACTGCCATGTGTGCCTTGCTTTGACCACTCTACTGCATCCCTCCAGAAGCATGCCTTTTTCATCCCTCTGTTTCTCTACCACGACCACAGCACCTTGCCAGAAAGAGCAGGATACCCTTTATGCATGGAGCCTGAGATGAATATAATGAGGCTACATTCAGGGGGGTGGAGCACTGGTGAGCCAAAAACACAAAGGGGGCAGGTCTTACCTTCTGTTCCACACATTTGATGAAGTCACCTTGCCTGGAGTGCCCCACTGGCTGCTTCCGAAACTCACTGCGCTTCTCTAGTCGGGATTCAAAAGCAGCTGGGTCAGATCTGATTAAAGGTAAACCAAAAGTTAAACTACTTGAGACTTTTTGGATTTGGAAATAACAAAGCATCATGTTCCACTTCCAGAGAGAGAGGACACAGGCATTCAGAGGTTGAAGGATTTGCCTACAAATCAAGAAAGTGGACAAAGATATCCAGTTATTTAACAACTGTTAATCCTCAAGGGGCCTGTGTACAATTCTTCTCCTGCAGGATATTTCCTAGGGTGATGCAGAGCTTGGTCCCTCAGGTACTTATACTCTACATCCTTGGAATTCAGTCCTCAAGATGGGAAGGGGACTTTGAAGTCATCTTGCTTGGTTGTCCTACTCAGGCAGGAGTCTAATAGCACTCCTAGTAGATGTTTTTACTTGAACACTGTTACTTGAACACATTTAGTTCTTGGACATCCTCTTTCCCCCACTCCCAGGTTAAATACTTGTTTATTCAGATGCAGATGATTCAGAGGCTTTAGGCAGCCTATTTTGCAGGAGATTTAGTATCTGAGTATCTCCCTGATTCTCTCCCAAGACCTTGCTCCTGCAGATGGAACAGCAGAACTTGTCCTTTGTGTCAAAATGAAGCTAGTCTTCAGGTTATGTTGGGGCTGACATCCTTGTTAAGAAATCTCCAGGCTGTGTAGGCAACAAGGTGATATTTGCCACTGTACACTTTGGTGAAGACCTCATATAGGGATTCCAGCTCCTGGGCCATAAGACCTGTCATAGGTGAGGTCTGCAGGATCCAAAGGGCATCGTGATCACCACTCTGGTGAAGTCCTTCCCGGTCAAGGCATTGTATGGGACTCCTCTTCCATAACATTCCATTCCTCCATTCCAGAGGAACACCACTCCCTTCATTGCCATTACATGGGCAGATCGTCTTCCTCCCCTCCACAGCAGAGCAGCAACTTAGTACACAGTCAGTCTAGCGGTCCTGTCCTGTGGGATGTGGCACCCACCCAGCTGGGACTGCAAATGCCAGGACCAGGGTAAGTGCTGCAAGCATCCACAGCTGTGCCTGGGTCTGCTACGGTGAGTGGGTAGAGTGAGTGAGGAGCAGCCCAGACATTGGAGTCTGTGCACTCCCACCTTGGACATCTTTTATTATTAAAACATCTGAGCCTAAATCTATCTGTATCTTTCACTCTTAGGAACAAGAAAAAAAAAATGTCTAATTCTTTTTATCTGAGTACTTGAAAATCACTATTATGTCACCCTCTAAATTTTTCTCTAGGTTAAACCTGCCTTAGTTCTTTTGGTCCTTCTTTATATAGTAATTTGTGAATACTTCCTCACTATCAACCTGCTCTCTGGAATTTGTCCACACTCTAGATACAGTGGGTCTGGAGCTAGATCATATCCTCCCAATTCACCAAAGCAGAGTATGATGCAAAATCCAGATACTAGGCTGGAAGGGGTCAGCAGGGCACATAGCCTTGTCCTGCTATTGGCTCAAACCAAACCTGGGGCTGGTGCTACAAGAGCCCAGGTTATCGTGAGTATAGAGAGACTGACAGATACTACAGCGTGAGAACCTTGTGTGGAACACTACAGAATATGGACATTATCCAGAGTCATTGTGGGTGCTTTAGAAAGCTCACTCTTTAGGAGATGTCAGTATGTGTAAATATTGATGGGAATGATCTAGTGGGGAAGAAGAATAAAACCTGCCATTCATTGGTTCATGAGTAAGAATGAATGGGAGCTGTGAAATATTCAGGGTATGAGTAGACAACTCTGCTAAGATGCCTGCCTGCCTGTGAAAGGGATCAATGAGAAAAGACTGGAGGGGAATGTAGGTCAAGGAAAGGTTTTAAAGATGAGAAATTCTTGAGTATATATGAACGTTGCTGAAAAGAGAGCAAAAATTCTCATTCCTTTATTCTGTCATTTTTTTCAAAAAGCGAAGACAGATCACAATAGCAGCAGTGAGCTGGACTGGGGTGGAAGTGGTGAAGACTAGCTGGTGGATGACTGCAAGAGTCCAGGAGATGACGGAGGAGTAAATTAAGGCCATGGAAGTAGAGGTGAGACAGAACTCAAAGAAGTTAATAGTACTCAGTCTTTGGTTTCCCAAACCAACTGCCTGCCCACCCTGCCAAATTCTCTCCCAAGCCCCTTTAATTTTCATCTTTGATCTCCTTCAGTTCTTCCCACTTAAACTCTTCAGACCCTCCCTTGGTCCCCTTACACCCACCTTAAGCCTCTTGATCTCCAAGTCCTTTTATCTGGAAGCTGAGAAGAAGTGTTAGGAATCCTGGATTCCAAGACAGATGAATCCCAACCAGCTGTGTGACCTCTGCCAGATCTCTGATGCTGATTCTCAGTTTCCTCATCTTAATGAGAGGATTCGGTGGTTGATCCAACTGCCACACCATTAGTCTTTGACGCCCTGCTCCCTCCCCCAACCTCCTTTCCTTGTAGTCAGGGCTGTAGCTAGAAACCTGGGAACCCCAGTTCTAGGCCAGGCCCCAGTGAATCAATATGTGACCTTGAGCAAGTCAAGTCCTTTCTATGAAAGGCTCCACGTTCCCATTTCTATAATGAGGGCAGGTCTCTTGGAACTGCCTACTTCATAAGATCTGACACAGGATTCCACCTCTGCATTTTGAGAACTAGAGCACAGAGACAGACAACTGGGGGAAGAGCGAGGACTTTGCAGAGACTCTCAGCTCTGACCCTAGCTGTGCGATGTTAGCAAGTGACCTTGCTTCTCTGAGCCCAGACGCATCATCTATAGAGTAGTGACAGCAACCGGGCCCGCATCGCAGGGCTGTTCTAAGCACCGAGGATGTCGGATCCACCAGAAACGCGGGCCGCGCGCCGCCCCTCCCAGCCCGCCGCCGGCCGGCCGGCGCCCGCACCTGCGCAGCTGCTGGATCTTGTCCCGGTAGCGGTCGTAGAAGGGGTTGGCCTCGAGCTCGGCCCCGGCCCCGCTGCCGTCGGCACCCCCCGCGGGCCGGCCTGAGCCGCAGCGCACCGGGAACACACGCAGCTGCGCGGGGGACACGAGCCCCAGTCCTAGAGCGCGGCTACGCACCGCGCACAGGCCCCGGTACAGACCGGCCACCTGCAGCACGGCGGGGCCCGTGCCACCGGCCGCCGCCACCACGGCAGCCATTGCCGCCTCCGCCTCCTCCTCCTCGTGCGCGTCGGCCTCAGCCCGCGGCCCGCGCGCCGGCTCCATCGCGCTCCGGGTCTGCCGTGCCCCGGCTCCGGCACCGAGGTTCCGCGCGCGCAAGGTTCCGGGCCCCAGAGAGGGCGAGGTGAGGCGCAGCGGGGAGGAGGGAGCTCGCCGCTCTGCCCGCCGCTCGGAGCGCCACGGCCCGCCTCCTCCCTCGAGCCCGCTGGCCTCCACGCCCTCCCGCTCGGGTCCAACAGTCTGTGCGCTCCAAGTCTCTTCTTAAAGCCGCTCGGACCTGCTGCTGGTCGTCACGGAGATTGCTCCCTCTCAGATTCTGTTGGCACTCGCCGCAGTAGTTGTCCTTCAGCATCCAAGGCCCTTTCATCAACTAGAATCACAGTAACAGCTTCTCTTTACTGGGTGTTTCTGTGTGCAGGACACTAACTGCTTCATACCCTGTGAGGCAGGCTTTTTCCTCATTTTACCAATGAAGAAACTGAGGCTGAGGGTCATTAAGAGAACTTGTCTAAGTTCTACCCAAGGACTGAACTCTTTGCAAGATGCCGGCTGCCTCCGAAGCCTTGTCTCCCTCTGCTTCCTGACATCCACTTTGAGCGCCAGCCAAACTGAACTACCCTCCTCCCTAAAGAGACATCTGGGTCTGTCCCTGACAAGTCTTTATTTTGGCTGCTTTTGATGCTTGGAATGTTCTTTCTTTCCTCTCTCTTGACCCAATACCATCTTTTTTTAAGTTTATTTATTTATTTTGAGAGAGTGTGTGTATGAACAAGGGTGGGGGGACAGAGAGAGAAGGAGAGAGAGAATTCCAAGCAGGCTTCCCACTGTCAGTGAAGAGCCCAATGCTGGACTCCATCTCACAAACCATGAGATCCTGACTTGAGATCAAGAGTGGGACACTTAACCGATTGAGCCACCCAGGTACTCCACCACAGTCTTCTTCATCCCCTTGAACCAAGTGGGAGCTCCTGAGATATAGACAGTGACATCAACATCTCTGTGTCCCACTCCCAGCACAGGGCCCTGGAACAAGCCTACGATGGCACTGATCAATTTGTCTTCATGGACAGACAGACTTCATGACTTCAAGTCTTCATGGACTTCCTGTCTGGGTCTTACCTGGTAGAAACACTTCCTGAATGGTGGATTCCTCTGGGGCAGGGACAGGATCTTCAACTCTTCTCAGGCTAACCTATACTTGTGGAGATTGGCCCTGGGCCCTGACCTGTGCTGGAAGTAGTGTGGTAGACTCTGAGATTAGTAAGTCCTTCAAGTGTGCTGACCTATACCTGCCTCAGGATCCTTGAACTGGCTGATCCCTCTGCTTGGATCTGCATGAGGCTCCCTCCTCATCATTTATGGCTCAGTTTACAAGTCAGCACCTCAAAGGGACTTTTCTTGATGCCCCCTATCCCTTTATATTCTTTATCCCACTACCTTATTTTATTCTCTTCATAGCAATTCTATCTGAAATTCTTAGGTAGTTATTTCCTTGTTTACACTTATTCACGGAGCTTACATTCTAGTGGGGTAAGAGACAAAAAATAAACGGTTCACCCTTGAATGACACAGGTTTGAATTGTGCAGATGCACTTACACGTGGATTTTTTACAACACTGTAAATGTGTTTTCTTTTATGATTTCCTTAACATTTTCTTTAGCTTACTTTATGTGTAAGAATATGGCATATACTGTATACACAAAATATGTGTTAATCTATTGATGTTATTGGTAGGGCTTCTGGTCAACAGTAGGCTATTAGTAAAGTTTGGGGGGAGTCAAAAGTTGCACATGGACTTTCAACTGTGCAGGGGATTGTTGTCCCTAACCCCCATATTGTTCAAGGGTCAACTGTAATGTTAGGTGATGATACATTCTATGAAGAAAAACAAAACAGGGTAAGAGAGATAGAGATAAGGGGACTTTGTGCGGAGAGTTGATGGAAATGAGGGAATCATCTATCTGGATATCTGGGAGAAGAACCTTCCAGATAGAGGGAACAGTAAGTGCAAAGGCCTCGATGCAGGAGCATACCTGCCCTACTTTTGGAACACCAAGGAGGTTCTTATGTGAAGAGGTATGGGAAGGGGTAGTTAGATCACTTAGGGCTCTGTAGACCTTGGTTGAGGACTTTGTTTATTCTGAGTATGATGGAGAGTCAATGTAGGTTTTGAGCAGAGAAGTAACATGCTCTACTTTTTTTTTTTTTAATCTACTTTTTAAAAGCCTCTTTCCGGTTGCTGGTGAAATACAGGGCATGTTGTGGTGGGTGGCGGTGGGGTGGGGGTGCTGCAGCAAGGATGGAAGTTCTCCCAAGGGTGACCAATTTGTCCTAGTTTGCCTGAGACTTTCCTGTTTTTAGTGTCAAAAATCTGCTGTTCTGGAAACGTCCTCAGTCCAGGGCAAATGGGGATGGCTGGTCACCCTACAGGGAGACCAGTACTCAAAGTGGGGGAGGGCAGTGCTTAGAAAGAAGTGATAGTGATGGGACAGTGGTTACATTCTGGATGTGTGTTGAAGGCAAGGCCTAATGATTGTGCTCATGGAGCAAATGTGGCCACAAGAGAATAAAAGGAGTCCAGGGTGACTTACAGTCTCTTGGTCTGAACAACTGGAAGGACAGAGTTGCCATTTATGGAGAGGAGGAAGTCTGGGGTAGGTTTTGGAGGCTGGATGATCAGAAGTTTGGGGGGCATGTTAGTTTGAGATAACGTAATAGACTTAATCCCCGTAATGGTAGGCATGTCAACCAGGCTATTAGGTGAATGAGTTCAAAGTCCTGGGGAGCAGTTTGGGCTGGATATAAATAAAGTGTGAGTTGTCAGTCAGTGCATGTATAATATTTAAAACCACAGTCTGGATGAGATCACAGAGGGAATGAATATACATAGAAGGCTGAAGACCGAGCCCTGGGGCACATTGACATTGAGAGATCAGGGAAAAGAGAAGAAATCAGCAAAGACAATGAAAAGCAGGAGTGAGTGAGATAGGAGAGCCAAGGGCAAGTGGAACCTGGAGGGAAATCTGTGCTGAATAGTCACAGGCTAGGGGACTAGAAAGAAGGAATTGAATGGTGCCAAGAAGCTGAGCTAGGCCCAGGGTTGTGCCTGCAGGGAGGCTGACTTGGGCTTCATTTAGGGAAGGGCTTTCTGACTGAGCTGCCACAGGAGGTGTGGCAAGTCCCTGATTCAGGTGAGTCCTGAAGCATTGGCTGCTGGGTAGAAGAGGTCTACCTCCAGGCCTCAAGCATCTGACAGGAGTTGGAGTAGCAGCTGTCAAAGTCCCTTCAAACTGGAGATGATGGGATTCTGGGAAGCCAACAGAAACAACTGTCACAGAGTTGGGGGGCTAAGCTGAGCCTTGAAATGTAAGTGGGTGTTCAGTTGGGGGGAAGTGGGGAGGGCACTCCTAGGTGGAGGAGCATTATGAGCAAAAGTCCAGAGATGTGAATAGGCAGGGTCTGTTCAAGAGTCTGGCCTGGTCAGAGGGGAAGGTATGTAAAGGATAGGGAGGAAGGTGAGGCTGGAAAAAGATGTAGGGCCAGATGGTGGGGAGCTCCTACAGGGCCTGATGCTCAGGAAAGATTGGCTAACACTTGTTGAAGGAAGGTAACTAAACAAAAGAGAGATTGTAAGAGTCAAGGACTGAGGTGTTGATCACTTAGTTCCCTTGAACAGGTTGACAGGTATCCATCAACTGTTTCTTAAAGCCCAGCAACATGGATAGACCCTTGAGAGACTTGGGTCCCTTTCCTGGGGTCCTGTCTTCACCGTAAGGGGTGGGGGACAGACAGTTCAGTGGGTGGATCAGTCCCTGGAAGTAGAGACACACTATGCCTATAAGGACACCATTGGATAGAGTCCTTTCCTTCGTTTACCCAAGGCTTCACAAGCCCTGCCCCTAGAATGTTTAATGCTCAGAACTCAGTGACCTCACCTTTAGGGAACAATGGGGCTGAGCATTACAGGGACTCCTATTGGCTTGGCAGATGGGTAGGTGAGCTCCCTCTCCCCAGAGCCATCAGCTGGGTACCAGGGCTCGAAATTATGGATTCCCAGCGGGAGGACCTGAGCCTCCCTGGTGGTAAATGCCCCTTCAGTTCCTGCCCCTTGCTTTGTGCCTTAGCTCAGAGCAGGCACCCAGGGTAAACGTTTTACATGGATGGGGTGGTGGCTGCCTGCCTGGAGGTGTGCTAAGCAGTTAAGATATAGTTTCCTCTAGAAAACTAAGGATTGAGGGCAGAGATCATGTTTCTCTGCGGAACCAGAGGGGGGTTCTATGAATACCCTAGGGCTATCACAGCTGAATGGGTAAGGATATGGTGGAATGGGATGGGATACCTATGTCCTTGTCAACTGATAAACTTTAACTTCCTTGATGGGCCTTGCCTTTGGTAAGGCTTCTCAATCTGATGGATTGGATGGGGCCAGGATGGTGAATCAGAGGCTTGACCAAGCCTGGGCAGGTCATGCCCCCTCTAGACCTAACTTTCCTTATCTGTAAAGGACTAAAGATGGCCTCTTAACCTCCCTGGAAATCTAGCATTGACTAAATAAGAGAATGATGGGACAAGTCAATGAGGGAAGGGAGGAACGGAGAGTGGTTAAGTGGATGGGATAATTGATGAAAGGGTTAAGGGAAAGAATGAGAAACAGCTCAGGCCCCAATTAGAGCTATCAGCCAGCTTGCCTCTTTTTCTTTCTTATTGCCTTAGTATGGGTCTCATTGTACTTTGGATTCCTGGGGCTGTGTTCTGTGGTAACCGGTGGCTGCATTCTCTTTCTGCACTGGAGGAAGAACTTGCGACGAGAAGAGCGTGCCCAGGAGTGGGTGAAAGTGATGAGAGCCGCCACGTTCACCTACAGCCCCCTGTTGTACTGGATTAACAAGCGTCGGCATTATGGCATGAACACAACTGTCAACACGGGCCCTCCCCCTGCTGTCACCAAGACCAAGACTGAGGTCCAGAATTCAGATCCTCTGTGGGAACTGGACGTCCCTGGGAGCAGGAGCTCTGTTGCCCAAGACAGCAGCCCCAAGGTGGAGGCCCCTGTCCCCCCGCAACCTGCACTGCAGCTGGTCCCCAGGCAGGCTTTACCTTCCCCAGTGCTGCAGTCCCGGACCAGCTCCCCACTCCTGGTGCCCATCTTTCAGGAGGTGCCCTTTGCCCCTTCCCTGTGCAACCTGCCCCCAATGCTGAACCACTCGGTCTCTTACCCTTTGGACACCTGTCCTGAAAGGAATGTCCACTTCCATTCCCTCCCCACGATGGTCCATGAAGACCACTGCTTCAGTGCCAAGGCTTTTGCCTCAGAATTATAGCCACCTCTCACTGAGGGTGGGAGCTGGAAGTATTATGGGCAGAGCAGGAAAATGGACCGAACCTCGGGGAGGTGGTATTGACACACAGACCAGAACTCATCTGGATGTCACATTATGAAAGACTAAAAAAAGTCCAAGGCTCCCTCGTGTCTTATTTGTCTTTAGGAGGGCAGTGTCCTTCCCCTGTCTGATGGGGGCACTTTGCAAACCTAGCTTAAGGTCACCAACGGGACCTTCATAAATGGGAACAGGAGGGTTGGCTGTGGGGAGACACAATGGAACTCAACATCCTTCTATTCAGTATTTGAGACCAAAAATGCATGCCAGGCCCTGGGCTAGGTATCCAAAGGCACTGCTGTTCTGTGTGACATTAAGCACAGCTGCCCCAAGAGTGATAGCTGCTGAGGGTGCATGAGCTATGGCGATTCACAGTGGTCATGGTCACATCACAGACAAGTCATCATGAGATCCATGAGCCACACTGCATTGCTGGCTGAACTGCATTCTTTGTTAACATTGATGATGCACTGAGTTATGGGTGTCTCTGCATTATGTCTGATACAAGAAAACTGCCAAATGGACACCACAATCCTCCTCTTACAAAGGAAGAGACAGGTTCCAAGGGCGTCTGCCATATCGTTTTTATGCTGCAGAGCCAGGTCTCAAATTTCCATCTTCCTGGCATCAAAGTTCTTGGTCTTCTCAGCATTCCCCATAGTGTCCCTTCCCTATGATAAGTCTTGTTAGAAAACACTTGGCAAATGATTGTGTGTGTGTCTGGAGGGTGTAATTAACTTGGTCCATGGATTGGCTTAGGAGGTCTGGTCATTGAACCCCCTAAAATTACACACAAAATGTACTTTTTTTTTAATCTTAAAAAAGTTTTTTTAATGTTTATTTTTGAGAGAGTGTGAGTGGGGGGTGGACAGATGATCCGAAGCGGGCTCTGTGCAATGCAGCATGTGCAATGCAGGGCTCCAACTCATGAACCATGAGATCATGACCTGAGCTGAAGTTGGATGCTCAACCGACTGAGCCACCCAGGCACCCCTCCTTTTTTTCTTCTTTTTAAAATGTTTCTCAAACGCATCCATGGACCCTCCAAAAGTAAATATCCACTACATGGGGATATTTTTGTACATTTTGGAAACAATCCTAAAAGAAGAGACAAAGAGAATACTGGCTATGAGGTCTGACTTTATTTACTTTTTATTTTTTTTTAATGTTTGGTTTTTTTTTTTGAGAGAGAAAGAGTGTGAGTGGGGGAGGGGCAGAGAGAGAGGGAGACACAGAATCAGTAGCAGGCTCCAGTCTCTGAGCTGTCGTCACAGAGCCTGACATGGGGCTCGAACTCACAGACCGTGAGATCATCACCTGAGCTGAAGTTGGATGCTTAACTGACTGAGCCACCCAGGTGCCCTGGTCCCACTTTAAAGATAAGAAACCCCAGCTCTCCCCCAGGATATAAAATTTCCCCTTCACTTTAGGCATGAAGACATCATCTCACCATAATTGTAAATGAGGTAAGCTTTCTGTAGTCTTCCTGAAGGGAAAGGCCACCGATTGTGTATGTTTGCTTCTGTGTGTGAAATCCCAGAACCCTAGCAAACACGCAGAGCTAATTTTTCTCAGTGTGTGAAAAAGCCCCAGCCTCTATATGACCACTCTCTTGGAATGGATTTCTCCCACCATCCCCTACCCCTTTAGAAGGCAGTGGAACATTCCTTGTAAACATGCTCTTCCACTGAATCTTACAAAAGCAACTCCCAAGAACCAAAAAAACCCCAAACACAAAACACCAATGGAGACCTAAGTGGAGCTTGGTTGATACAGAGAGGGGAAGGGACTCACTCTTCCCTTGCCCCACCCTCTTCAACACTGCAGATGCCTAAGCAGCAGCCTTCACTTTTAGGGCAGATTCTGCAGTTCTTAAAGCAGACTCTTTACCATCTGTTAGTTTTTGTTTTTGGAAGGAGGGAGTCTATATAAGGATCAAAGGTTTTTTCCTTAGTAATTGAAGGTCGGAGGAGAGGGGGACCTTTAGTCACAGACACAGTGGGAGAAAAAGGAAATGTTTTATTTAGATAAATTAAAATAGCTGTATTACCTATATGAAATAAGCAAAGCTTAAGTCATAGAGACCTTGAATTCACTCCCTAAATAGAACCGAAATTGCTTATACAGTACCAAAATAGCTCCACTAAAGCAAAGTAGATTTACATTTCTTAATATGAGAAAACAACAAGGTAGGTTAGGTTCGTATAACAAACAATACACACTCTGTAATAAGTCTCAGGAATACCCAAATGTGTTCTGGTTTGGATATGAAAGAAGGAACCACATCTAGCTGGTGTCCATAAGCCAATGAGGTGTGTAGCAAACAAAAGCTGCCACTAAAAACAACTCAACAGCAGGCCATTATGAGTATGAGCCCATCACCGTCAAAGTCTTCAACTGTGACGAGCAAGACTGGCGCAGTAGGAGTAGGGGGCAACAGGGTTACGTCCAGCAAAGCAACATAAAGTGAGGAAACACCAATGGAAGGAAAAGTTGTTGGTGGCAGATGAAGGGTGTCCTCTTCAGCTTTGCTGTATCAGACACATTCCTAAATGCCAGGTCCCTCTCTGCCCGTAAAATGACACTACAGTCACCCCTAAGCCAGGTTCTCTATTCCTTTGATTCTTCTCTTCCTGGAATACCTTTTTGGTCCTCTGATTTATAGGGAGGCTCTCTAAGTAAACATGATCCCAGATAGTAAGGCAAAAGAAAAAAAAGGGGCCAAGAAGCAGTGCTTTGGGTAACTTAGGAAAGCAGCAGCAGTAGGCGCTGCCAGAGTGAAAAGGTAAAAGTATTTGAAACAAAAACCAAAACCCAATCTTCCCCTGAGATGAGGCAGGAAAGGCTTGACTACAGCTCAGAAGTCCCAGGTTGGAGAAGTTAAGACCACTTACAAATAAAACTCCCAAATTAACACTGAGTGAGTGGCTTATAAAACTCTTAAGCCAATGAATCTGCTCAACCTGGAACAAAAGAGTTCAACATGCCCTGCTTCAGTCTGGGAGACAGGGCAGCAGTTATGGCAAAGGGATTCAGCTGCGAGTGAAGCAGAAACACCTCCACCAGTTTGGTAGGGAAGAGGTACATACAGCTAGCCCTGGGACAATGCTAGCTAGCCAGATAAGCTGGAGGTGGGACGGACAGGTGATCAACTGGAAAACAAAACTGACTTCTCCAGGTACAGCTATCTGGTACAAAAGAAAAGTACAGGCAACAAAGAGTTAAGGTGTCCTCAAAGTATCTGCCTATGAATAAGAATTTGAAACCAAAAAGGACAAGCTACATTACCCTCAAGTATATTTCATATAAATCAGTTCTCAAAAAAATACCTTCCAGGTACAGACATACTATTTATGGTACAGTATATACAAATATAGCAGTATAATTCAATTTATTGCTAGAATTTTATTTGGTTGTTACAAAATCTGTAAGGGTATATATATTTAAAAAGGGGGTGGGCATGGAAGGCAGCCAGAAGAAAAAGAGTTATCTTCAAGGTACCTAAAGTGCCAGGCTAATTTTATACTATATTTTAACCTTTCCAAGAAAGTGAAATAGCTCAGATGGGCAAGGGAGTTTTTTTGTTTTTTTCAAAAGACAGAAAGAAGCACAAGCCATTATGAGGTAAGCAGACACATTCATGGGAAAAGACTTCATCTTGCTTAAACTAAACTTTAATACTTTCAGAAAAAAAAAAATCAAGGTTAGCCAACACTAAACTGAACATCATATAAAGAAAAAACCCAGCCCTAAAATGTTTAAGAGTGTGCGACTGCATCCACAGGTAACAGGGCAACTTGGATAAAGTTAAAACAGAAATGAGCCCTACTAAAGAAGTCTATGCCATGAAACCTGTAGTTTCTCCCTGACGTGGCCTACGGCACCAGTTAAGTTTCGTGAAGTTTTTCCTTTTGTGTTGCCCAAAGCCTGCTTCTACGAACAGCACAGCACACACACAGATGTAATTCCTTCCGGTCTGGGGACCTTTCCTACTTTTCTGGGGGCCTACAGAAATATTTAAAGGGAGAAGTATTGCACTTGCTTGTTATGAGATCTGAAGAAACTTGCTGCCATCAAGTGAAGCGCCTGGTCCAGGCCAGCTCCACGTGGTTTGGCATCCTCTGGACAGAACCCCTGTAGCCACTTCTGAGCTGACAACTGGTAGGGAACCTAACAGGATTTCATGTGCTGCATTTCACAACTTCTCTGGTTTCAGGCCACAGAGGAACGTAGGAGGTTCTTCTTGGCAAAAACCTTCAGGTAAAACCTCAAGGAGTTTCCTGGGTCAAAAGGAGGGGCAAAGCTATCCTCTAAGGCTCCTCCTGGGTAGCCAGGCTGTGATAGTGAGTGAAAGTGCTGCCCTGCCCCTCAGAACGGAGACCGCATCAGAGGTGGCGGTCAGCTCTGGCTTGAGGATGGACTTCGGTGGGTGGGTGAAGATAATCTAGCTCACTCAGTGGGGAACACGTAGCTCCCCACGGGATAACTTTTTATGCTCATCAACACTGAAATAGGATTAAAAGTGAGAAAAAACCCCCAACGAGACTTCTCTGGTTCAGAGGTTGGGATTAGCTGAGGGGACAGGAACAAAAAGCCAGAATCTTATTTTCCTGAGCCTGGGGGCAGCACACTGTGCTACAGTGTCACCTCACCTCCCCAAATCTATTCCTCCAGCTTCCATGCCAAACCCCGTGGCAGCACCTAAAGGAGACATGGACATACTTTCCGCAGTTACCAGATCAGCGATTTTTAATAACAAGTCATTTGTTCACATCCTGTTTCAAACCATTCTTCCTACTTCCCACAAAATGTGCACAATTCTTTCTTTCATTTTAAATATTTACAAACAGAAAAGGTCTACCTTTTAAAGGAAAGACATTTTCTGAGTCTGTATAAAGTGCAGCTAATTTAAGGCAAATTTATGTGAAATATAAAAGGTGGCTTATTCTCTCTATATACACATTTTCCAGTTTTAAAAGATAAGGTTTCCTTCCCTAAAAAAAAAAAAAAAAAAAAAAAAAAAAAAAAAAAAAAAAGGAAAGAGGGAAAAAAGAGAGCTTGACTTTTTTCTGGCAATTTTTAAATTAAGATCTTACTGGTTTTAGGAAATCAGAGATTTCTGAATATCACATAAGTAAAATGGCCTTTTTTTAAAAAAATAATTTTATAGCTTTTTCAAACAAGTTAAAAGGTGACAATGTGTCTGCTACAGTAGTTTGGAGGACTGGAGGATTGATTGGTAAGTAAAACAGTTGTTCTTGTTAGGTGAGTAGATATTAGGTAGTCCTGGTGTATAGCATTTCTAAAATATGCCTGATGAGACTAGACACCTAAAGCTACCCTTAGCTCCAGGAATGAATATCTTCCATCGCCATCAGAATCAAACTCTTTCAAAGTCTCTAGTCCTGGCACGGCAGAACCTAAGGAGTTCCAGATTTCCTGGTAGGTCAGCTTTCCATCCATGTCTTGGCCAGTCTTGTGGAATAAATCCTGAAGATCTGTTAAAAAGGAATTACAGAATGTGTATGTCTACACATATAGCTAAATTTACTTAACAGTTTATTTATTTATTTTAATTAATTAGTTTATTTTAAAGTTTACTTATTTTTGAGAGAAAGCGTATGTGCGTGCAGGTGTGTGTGTGTGTGTGTAGGAGAGGGTCAGAAAGCGAGGGGGGAGAGAGAGGATCCCAAACAGGCCCTTCACTGTCAGCACAGAGCCTGAGGGACTTGGACCCATGAACTGTGAGAACATGACCTGAGCCGAAATCAAGAGTCAGACACTTAACTGACTGGGCTACCCAAGTGCCCCAAATTTACTTAACAGTTTAAAAAGCAGCCTCGGGGCGCCTGGGTGGCGCAGTCGGTTAAGCGTCCGACTTCAGCCAGGTCACGATCTCGCGGTCCGCGAGTTTGAGCCCCGCGTCGGGCTCTGGGCTGATGGCTCAGAGCCTGGAGCCTGTTTCTGATTCTGTGTCTCCCTCTCTCTCTGCCCCTCCCCCGTTCATGCTCTGTCTCTCTCTGTCCCAAAAATAAATAAACGTTGAAAAAAAAAAAATTTAAAAAGCAGCCTCAACTGAATGCAAAGCACTAAAAGAAAAGCTATTTTGCAGACTCTGTTTCCAAAAGATAAAGTTCAGTATCTCACTAAATCAGAAAGATGATTCTTGATCCTTTACGAATGAGAAGAATTACTGAATGACACTATCCTTCCAAAACAGAAGCAGTGACAGATAATCACAGGAGAAATGAGTGGGCTGGGCTTTCTCCCCAAGGCCTTCCTTTTAGATTTTCCAGATTTTATTCTTATGTTGGACGGGTAAAAAGGACTGCAGAAGCCTCAAGAGCTAATGGTAGGAGCTGAGCCTGTAAAACAGACTATAGCATATTGTTAGTTAAACAGAATTACCGTATGATCCAACAATTCCATTCCCAGGTATATACTCAAAAGAAATGAAAACATATGCCCATACAAAAACTCGTACGTGAATATTCACAGCTGCATTATTCCTAATAGCCAGAAGGCAGAAACAATCCAAATGTCCATTAGCTGATGAATGGATAAAATGTAGTATTATCCATATAATGGAATATTATTCAGCCATATAAAGGAATGAAATACTGCTACATGCTACAATATGATGAACCCTGAAAACAGGCTAAGTGAAAGAAGCATATACAAGGCCATGGATCCTATGATTCCATTTATATGAAACACCAGCACAGGCAAATCCAAAGATTTTGGTTGAAAGATTAGTGGTTGCCAGGGGCTTGGAGTGGGGGAATAGAGAGTGAGTGTTTAATGGGTACAGGATTTCTTCTGGGGAATTAGATAATGGTGATGGTTGTACAATGTGGATTATACATTTTAAAAGGGTGAATACTATGATACTATGACTTATATGTCAATTAAAAAAAAAAAAGAACCAGAGGGCTACAGATCTCTTCAAAGTGGTATATATGGTATAAAGCATCAGGCACATGTGCTCTCTCTCTCTCCCAGCTAAGAGACAGCACTATCACCAGTTGATCTGTAGCTTCTTTTTTAGTTCTAAGATATTATTTGAGCCAATAGGATTGGAGAGTTTCCATCAATGGTCTCTTCTGGTATTTTCTCAAGGGCCCCATAATGAACACGTAGGAGGGCCGGTTATTCACATAATATTTTAAAAGGACTTGATTGTGTCCCCACAGAATGACTTAGTAGATTTAGTCTCTAATATCAAGAGACAGTCATGAGGCTTAGGTTTCCTTAAAAGTCTTCCTAAATCTCTTTCCTCTCTTCACGTAGCCAGCTCCACCTGTAGATTCTGTAGGCCTCTTGCTGTTTGGTACTCAGGAAGAACAGAAACGGCCTGAAGCGGGGGAAGCAGTGCAAGGTGCAGTCCATCAAGGAGTTTTGCAGACAAGCTTCTGAAGAAGGCCCTGCTTTCACTCCTGAGACAGCCCCAGCAAAGCAGCTCAAGAGTCTCAAAAGCTCTGAAAGCCAGAAAAGCAGGTGGGACACTTGTTCTCAATGGCTGCCACCAAGTGGCTAGCTGGAAAATGTGTTTTGTGTGTGTCTCTATATAGGGCGTGAGTTTATAAAATGTGCTATGCACTTGGTAGCAGTATTCAAATAAAAATCCTATTGCTGCTTTGGGTCATTTCAAAAGTGTAGTCATCCAAAGTATCCGAGGCCAATGTTAAGGATTGAAGTATAAATGTTAAGATGGCTATTTCTCAATCTGCTCTATCAGTCTTTCCTCCATGCATTCTCATCAATTCTTGATGTAATAAATGCAAAGTGGGAGAAGGCACTTGTGTTGCCAGTAAACACAATTTAGCATTCTTCTGTCTCCCCAGAAAACAGAAAGAAAAAAACTTGGAGATAAGATGAAAAAGTAATGCATTTATATGGCAATAGAAATTTAAGTCTTCTATGCTTTACACATTAATTGTAGGCTGTAGATAACTCATTCACGTAACAAATATTCACGTGTACCAGGCATTATGCTAGGGGCTGGGAGTAAAGCCAATTTTCTATCTCCCCAGGAAATTACAACACAGTGACATGTGTTACACAGGGGCAAACATAAGATATTATAAAAGAGCATACACAGGAAGAACCTAATCCAGTCCTGGGAGGTAAGAAAATGTTTTCTGGTGGAATGGTATCTAAGTTAAGATGGAGAGCCAGACAAATGTAGGTGGACAGGAATGGGTGATTTTCCAAGCAGTTAGCGAATGCAAAATCAGGAGACTCTAAACATCACCACGAAGGATAGCACACACTGCTGGAAGCAAGGCAAACATGGTTTTTCTGTGAATCATATCCTTCCTACTGTTTATCTTGCTGGTTTTCAGCCAGAGGACCCCTCTTTTTTTAGAGGGCCTTAGCAAACAGTATTTGCTATCTCAGGGTATTATGGTTGCTTGTTTGCCTTCTCCACTAGACTGTCACATCCTTGAGGAAAGTGAGATCGTGTCTTACACTGTATTTTTACTGCTTAGCACTGGGTCTAATTAGGCACTCACTGAATGAATGAAGACTCTACAGTGCATTGGTTGAGAGTGCAAACTTGGGTGTCAGGCTGTCTTGGTGTGAATTTTGCTTTAGCCTGATACTTGCTGTGTGGACTTAGGCAGTTTCCCTACCAATAAAATGGGTAGAATACATGAATATTTATGTTCCCAGGATCGTTCAGAGTATTATATAATATAATATATATATTATATAATAATAATATATAATATAATGCATATCATACCAAGTATCTGGCTCACAGAAAGTACTCAATGTTAATTATAATTATATAATTATATATAAAAGAATTATAATTATTTTTCTTATAAGTTAAAAAAATTAAAAATTTATAGCTTTGAACATTTCCCCTATTATTCCATGGTATAAACATTTACCTTTTAAAAAAAATTTTTTTTAATGCTTATTTTGGAGAGAGACAGAGACAGAATGCGACTGGGTTAGGGGCAGAGAGAGAGGGAGACAGAATTGGAAGCAGGCTCCAGGCTCCAAGCTGTCAGCACAGAGCCCTACACGGGGCTTGAACTCATGAGCTGTGAGATCATGACCTGAGCTGAAGTCGGAAGCTCAACCGACTGGGCCACCCAGGCGCCCCTAAGCATTTACCTTTGATGCTAGAAATTCCTGGTAGGGCAATAGGTCTTAGCTGGGCAGTTTTCTCAATGTGATCTCCATAAGACGGTGGAGATTTTGGCAATGCTGATGGCTTTGATGTGAAACTCTGTACTTGCTCTGTAACAAACATATATTGTTTTATAGTATTATCAAACCTGACACCAAAATAAACCAGTACTAAAGGTCACCTTTTAGGGTAATTACATACATACCAAGTAGCACAGTGACTGTGTGAAGTTAAAGGCATGGATTGAGATACGTTGTGTGGGTAAGTGAAGATCATACAGTATCCTATAACATTAAGGTTTAAGCTGTGGTCCCATGGGAAGCTCTTCTAGTACAAGTTAGCTTTACATAGGTTTAGATGCTAAGAGTTTAAGCTGCAAGTGAGAATAGCATTGGATGTCTGATACCCTAGGAGCCATACCGTAAGTCTGATGTGGGGTATGTGCCACCAGATCAGCTGGTGCTGAAAGAGGGCTGTCACACAATTATGTAGCATGATGTTAGGACAAGGCCTCCCATTGTAGACTGTTCCCCTACCCAAAAGAGAGTAAGAGAGGATGTAATGTTTTCCCCAAAATGAAAAATATTTGTGGGGGGTAGGGGCCAAAGCCAATCCAGTCCAGTGCTTTAGTTATGTCCTTGAGGCATCTGCTAATATTGATTAGGTATGTCCCTCCCTAAAGCCAAGGGCCTTTCCAACTCAATGATCCCATCATTATTTGCTAATGGTTTTTCAGAAGGACTAATATTTATTTTTAAGTACATTTTATGCACTTAGAGTAATGAAAAGACTTCCGTAAACAACATATAGGGCTGGTTTAATATATACTATGATAGTTACATTTTTGCCCATAATTGGATGCAGACAGCATGGAGAAGTCTATTTCAAGCTAAACATTACCCATTCTTTCCTTAATAGACTGGAATACAAATCATGTACAAAATGGTTTTTCCTAAATGAAACCAAAGTGTATCATCTTCATCTCGGTGCACTCAGGCATCATTCCCTCGGTCTGATCAGTCCTGCTGGAACACCTGTCCCCACTCCCTGTGTGGGAGGCGAGCTGCCCAAGCCTACATGAGACATGCAGAAGCCAGCCCTGAGTATCTCACCTTTGTCGGTGGTGTCTGGTGGCCTGTTGCTCTCAGGCTTGTTTGTGAGAGCACTGATCAGCTGCAGTCTCTCTCTGAGCTTGGATACTTGAGAATCTGAACTATCTTCTTTCTGTCCAAAATAAAGACCACAGAGGCTTAGGGTGGAGAGAAGACCTTACCTGATTCTTCGTTATGTTCCCAGAGCCTATTTAGCAGGAAATGCTTGACTTCCAGTAGGTTCCCTATTAAAGGTAATGAAGGAATGAATCAACAAATACTAGAGATACCTTTGGTACTCAGAGTTGATGAGGGCCTAGCTGGATTTGAGACTAGACCATTAGGGGACATTATGTGACAGGCAATGTGAGATCCACTGTGAATGTTTGGCTGATGGCGGAAGGCAGGCGTGTGTCAGCAGTAAAGGAAATGTACCCTTGCTCAGGTGCCCATGTAACACCCATTTCCTAAATGAGTAGATATTATTTTCTAGGAGCTATTTCACACTAAATACTTTTCCTGAATATCTTACTTTACCTTGTGACCAGATAACTTTAGGTAGAGTTTTATGCTCTTATCACCTTAAAAAAAAAAAAAAAAAAAAAAAAAAAAAAAAAAAAAAAAAAGAAAAAAAGTCAACAAACCCTGGCTTTTCTTTGTCCCCCTCTCCCCCACCCCTGAGGGTTCAAGTGGTGGCAGGAGCTGTAAGAGCAAGAGGAGCTGTAGGAGAGCTGTAAAATTTCTAATTCCAAGTTTGACTTACTTACATCTTTTAAAAAAGATTTTCCAGGGGCGCCTGGGTGGCTCAGTCGGTTAAGCACCCAACTTCGGCTCAGGTCATGATCTCGCGGTCCATGAGTTCGAGCCCGGCGTCGGGCTCTGTGCTGACGGCTCAGAGCCTGGAGCCTGTTTCAGATTCTGTGTCTCCCTCTCTCTCTGACCCTCCCCCATTCATGCTCTGTCTCTGTCTCAAAAATAAATAAATGTTAAAAAAAAATTAAAAAAGTTTTTCCCTACACCCTTCCCTCATTTCCAGGATGATCCAGAGTGGCATACAAAAAATATATTTAATTATAAAAAGAGAGAAGTCTGGTTTCTATGAGGCTTAGGCTTTTTAAATTTTTTTTTTTTTTAATTTAAAAGAGAGAGAAAAAGCATAGCAGGGGAGAGGGGAGAAGAGGAGAGGGAGAGGAAAAGAGAGAGAGCGAGAGAATCTTAAACAGGCTTCATTGCACAGCATGGAGACTGACACAAGGCTTGATCCCATGACCTTGGGATTGTGATCTGAGCGAAAATCAAGAGTCGGATGCTCAACTGACTGAACCACCCAGGCGCCAAAGGCTTATTAGGCTTTTCTAACTGCTTAGGCTAGTGTGAAAGGTCCTGATCATGTGTTCAGTCAGAACACCAACTCATTACGTGTTTTGTTTTTTTTTTTTAATTCAATTATTTCTCTGACCTTCATTTCTACTCTAATAGTTATCATATAGAAGATCACTCGGGCTTATTAAGGGGCTAATATATGGACACAGATGACTAAAACTAGGTACTAAATACTTGAGGAATTTATGAAGAAATTAAAGAGAAATTATATCTGGTTAGGATGTGTAAATTAAGTAGGACAGAGGGACCAATACACTGGGATGACAGTTAAAAACATAAAGGGTCTGAAAGCAAAACCAGGAAATTTAGACAAAAAATGTGCATGATTCTGATGTTTATTTGATTCTGACGTTTACTGTTAAAATATGAACTGCTGGTAAAATCACTAGTTTCCATCAGTAACCACCTGTTACTTTTTGTGTTCAACATTTGTATCTGGATCTTCAATTTTTCTTGTCATTCCCCAGGTGAGGTATTTTTATTTATTTATTTTTTATAGAAGTAGTTAGAAAATGCAACAAAAGCCAAGATCACGAAGTATTAAAATCTTAATATATCTGGGCAATAGTTAAGGAAGAACAAATATAGATACAAAGTACTACATTGAAAACTGCCTGTCCTATGGTTCATTTCCAAGTTCATTTCCTCTGAACCTCATATCCTTGAGCTTCTCACACACAATATGCATCTGAGGTGGTATTTTAGCCACTTAGCCACAATCTTCCTGGCTTTTACTTTATAGCCCAGATCTTATAGTATTAAACAATACTCTAATCACAGAGAATGTTAACAAATAAACTTTATTTCCTGGGATATCAAAGCATATCACAGATTGTCTTATCTTGACAATATGTCAGGGAAGAACTTAAAAACAAAACAAAACAAAACAAAACAGGAAGGTACAAGGTGAAAGGAACTGGCTGAAGTTTAAATGGACTATGTAAGTACTGAGACTGCAATCTAAAAATAATGTTTAGGTTAGACAAGAGTTTTAGATGATCTATGCCTCTGTTCTCTGTTGTTAGTACAGATAACCTACTGTCATAGCTTAAAAGTAATTTCCTTAGGGAGCTTTCCTGACCTCTGTTAACACCCTCATCATACCCTGTAATTTTCCTTTGTAGCAGGTATCATACTCACAGTTATTATCTGTTCAATTATGTAGTAGTGATTTTCTGACTGATGGACTTTGAGTTCCATCAGAATAAGGGTCACATGTCTATCCTGCTCACTGCGGTCACCCCAGCTCCTCAAAAAGGGCTTGGCACAGGGTAGGTGCCTGATAAAGTATTCACCTATTCACTCATATGCTAATTTATTAATTACTCTGTCTTGAAGTCTCAGCAAACGAGACCAATGTGCTCCTTTAAAGAAAGAAACAGTTGCTCAAATGCACAAAGATGCTGTTGTGTTTTTTCTTTTTAAGTAATCTCTACCCCCAACACAGGGCTCGAACTCACCACCCTGAGATCAAGAATTGTACATTGTACCGACTGAACCAGCCAGACACCCCTCAAAAGGACAAAGATGCTGATGCATTATTCTTACTTCAAAAGAAGCCCCCTGTAATTTACCTTTATGCTCTGGGTTTTTAATGTATCCGTTCTGTTGGTCATTTGATGCAAGGACTCTCTTTTTAGAGTGGCGGCTCTATCATCCATCTTAAAAGGTAAAAACAAGATTAAAGGCAAACATTAAAACTTAAACATCTAGCACTTTTGAAACAAAGTAGTCAAACTGAAAGGTTCTCAGGACACTTTCAACAGAAATACCAATAGGAGAAGGAGAGGGGGAGAAAGGCAGCTGAGACACAAAGCTGAAACCGTCGCTTCACAAACTTTCATACTTCTAAAGTACAGAAGGTGAGGGGACTTATATACCCAGAGCCAGGCTAGGCATGACGCTGTTGGAAGAAAACAGCAGGACAGACGGTGCTATTAACGATTTCTTCTTCTGGAGAAAAATAAAGTGGAGGGGGAGGGACTGTATGGGGAGTCTGGGGCAGCAAATTCTCACAATTAGCCTTGAAAACCTTCAAGGCCCAACACTCATCAAACCACCCCAAATTCCTAGCCCCTACTTAGTTTAGTTGAGTTCAAAGGGGCTTTTTAAAATAAGGCTCCTTTAGGGCGCCTGGGTGGCTAAGTCAGTTTTAAATGTCCGACTCTTGATTTCGGCTCAAGTCATGATCTCACAGTTCATGAGTTGAGCCCCGTGTCAGGCTATGCACTGACACATACAGCCTGGTTGGGATTCTCTTTCTCTCTCTCTCTCTCTCTCTCTGCCTCTCCCTCTCAAAAATAAAAACATTAAAAAATAAATAAGTAAAATAAAACAAGGCTCCTTTAATCCTCACGGCTTTGTAGTAAATCCATGCCCTTGTAAAGCAGGAGTGGGGACAGGTCTTCTGACTCCACGCTCGAAGCCATGCCAGGCAAGCCACCAAGGCTCCACTGCGGCAGAGTCAGTTCAAACCCTGCCTGCCGGGTGCTGGAGTTCAACTTTACTTGTGGGCTTGCTTCTAGCTTTGCTGCTGACTTGAATTTATGCTACAATTCCCTGTTTTAGGTTTCCATTTCTTTACATATGCCTGTGTCTTTGTTGTATGAAATCTTTAAGGGTGGGGCCTGCAGCTATTAAAAAGCAATTCACATGGATCCCAGGACAATATAGAAAAAAACACATTTTATTAACAATACCATGAAAACCAGTAAACCACATGGTCTGCCAGCACCAATGACTCAGGTCACTATTTCCTCATGTAAAATGGGAGGATGGACTCAATGATCTCTCAAGTTGAGGAGCTGGTCTGACCTGGTCTGTTTTAAATGGCTTTCTCACATTATATGGCAAAGGATCCCCCTAACATGCAGACAAAGCAGGATAAATCTGAAAAGCCAAGTTCAGGCTTGAAGAAATGGCAAAAGATTCTTCACTTATTGTCACTGTCATTGTTCCCACCCCTAACAACTTAAAAAAGAGCAAGGAGATCTCCCTTGGAAACATGTGCCAGAGCTTCTCTACCAGATGGGTCACTGGTAACACAATAGGCGGCTTGTCATTTCTGCCATCAGCTTGTGGTGAAGCCGTGGCAAGCAACTGAACCCCCTCTACATCTCTCTTTCCAGATCAGGGCTAACTATGCCTGTGCCATTCACATCACAGAGCTAGTGTGGAGATTAAAGGAGGCAGGATGAAGCACAGCACACAGGTGTAGCCTCTCAAATATGCCAGGAGACTGCGTCTGAAAGGTCTGTGGAGTGTCATCCACGTGCAGACAAAACACACGGCAACACAGAACATATCACAAAAGACCCGAAATGGCTTACCATGCTGAGGGACAGGTTCGCTTGCTTTTCTACCTTGCTCATAGCAACCAGATCTGTTTCTATCCAGTTGACTCTCTGGGTAAGGTTCCTGACTGTCTCATTCATTCTCTTGAGTTTAAGATCGTTCTGTCTGTGGTACCCCACTAGGGCACTGTTTACCTCCTCTAAAGAGTTGTGAAGGTACAGGATATCCTGGAGTGGAAATAAATCAAACTGTGGAATCCAACTAAAAGACATACACTAGACAAGCAGGCCAGCAGCACTAAACAACCATTACCATGTCACGTGACCGAAGTAAACTCCTTTTCCTGGTTTAGACCATCGATTGTCTGTCTTGGCTTTGTCCTTCCACTCTCAATTGCTCTGAGTTTACTCCCTCTGGAGTTGTTTGACCTCAGCTAGACAGGAGGAGGAAAGGGGACTAACTACATGATTCACTCTCTGGTCCCAGAAAGCTGAGAGCTTGGGAATTGATTGCCCAATGTTTACCTCACCTGCTGGCGGGAAAGCTTGCTGGGTTATTAACTGAAACGCCCATTAACCTAATTTGTCAGAACAAAACTACCTTAGGAACAATACCAATTACTGAATTGGCTCATGTAGCAAAACCATAACAAGTAGTGCATTATTTAGTACAAGATTCAATTATTTTTATTGACATTCTCTAGTACTGATTGCTACTTAAAAAGGAATGATGACTATAGGTTTTAGAGGGCATTAAACTCAGGACAGGAATTCTTAGTGAAGATTTCCTTTATTCTCTTTCATGTGATTCTGAACTCAATAACCTTTTTTCTCTTCTTGTCTTTAGTCTCAGAAAGCATCTAAAATGCTTTCTAACAGTTTAGAAATGTTAACTTGCTCAGATCACTATTTTTCATAAACAGTTTCAGGATAATCTGGCTCTTCTATGCCTTTTAAGATGTGAAAAGGAATTTACTCTACTGACGGACATGCAGGGAAAAAAAGCAGAGTGCCAAAGAAGAGTCAGGATGACATCTTAGACTCCTAAGACAGCGACACACATTGCTTTCTGCTCAGCTCTCAGGCAGGCAAATATATGCATGGGATGAGGCGCCACAACATGGAGCCCAACTACTCAAGCGGCCCTCAGAGTTCACTGTGGGCACAGGGAGTTAAGCCAGAGACAAAAAAGTACCTGTTTCAGATTCTCACTGTGGGTTTTATTGTTAACTTCTGATGTAGCTGAAGGTGATGGACTGCTCTGGTTGCTTCCACTGGTCTCTTTCAAGAAGTGCTGATTCTGTTTATAGGAATAGAGGTTCGTATAGGCAAGTAATTACCATCTAGGATGGTCCCAAAACCTTCTAGCTTCCCAAAGGAGGTATCCATGATTAATCAACAATTAGTTCCCAGGAGCCTATAGTGTGACCAGTCTTGTGTTAGGCCCTGAGGGCACCAGGTACTTTTGGGGATGCCAGCCTGAAGGGTGGACTGGATCAGCAGCACCCAGACACCTCAGGGAACTGAGACCCTCCCAGTGTTTCTCCATCTCTGAATGGAATGAACTCCCCAGACACCAGTCCTTCTTGCCTCTATTACCCGTACTCTCAGAGAAACTGTAGAATCACTGTAACGTCCCAGGGGCCTGAGAACTCAGTCCGAACTTGGCTAGTGTCATCATTTCCCCAGGACTAAAGAGGTTTGTACATTCAAAGAGCAGCCAGTTGTGTACCACTGGCCTTGGGCATTGAATACAACAACCAATCACGCACCACAGTTAGTTTTTCAGTTTTAACAGCACATGCCAAGATTTATGTCTGAAGGTTACCCTTCCTTTCCCATCCCCTTCCCACTGCTCAGGTCTCTCTCTGAAGAGGGTGAAGTGTAACACGTTTATATACACTTTTCCCCTCTAGTGGAAAAACTTTGCATGCCTTAATCTCTCAGAGTCTGTACCTATGACTTAATTCAGTATATAATGTGCCAATGGAGGGATTACCACAGGCAACTATGGAAGTTTAAAAGAGGCAGATTTAATTATAATAGAATGCAACTGGGGGAAATAAATTGTTTTCCCTGAAATCCTAGATATTTATCAACCCTTTTATAAGAAATAAAAGGCACAATAAAGAAAAAGTAAGAGAGGTGGGAGAAAAAAACTCCATGGTTCTCTAAAGCATGAATTTTTGAGTTAGGAAAAAAGTTATTTTGGAACATATTTAATTACTTTAAGAAAATGTTCCAGATATTAAAATAACAGTAATAAAAGAATTGCTAAATTAGGGATCTTTATTATTATGAATCTCCCACTCAGCAGCAGAGTTGGAACTAGAATCCAGAGTGTCTGAACACCAGGTCAATGCTTTTTCCTCTGGGTCAGCCCCATTAAATAACAGTGAGGAGTTCTTGTTTTGAAGAAATGAAAAACCCCCCTTTCTAGAGCTCTAAGATAGCCCAGGTCTCCTTGGTACAAACTTCCTGGTTTAAACTCGAAACTCCAAAGCTTGAGAAGAGCATGTGCGATAGACCTAGAAATTAGTGGAGAATCTAGGGAATCTTTGTGTTTCTTGAATAGTCCTAATCTCATGTACATATAACTCATCTCCCCAGCAAGACAGCAAAGGTTGTGCCATCTTTTTCACCCTTCATAAATCTTTCATGGAGCAGAGTACCCACTAGGTGATGAATTAAGGCCTCTGAATGATTGCAGATAGCTTATACCCGCACAACACTAAGAGACATCTGGAAACAATTCTTGAGCACTGCAGGGGTTTGCTTCTGTCTCAGTTATCTGCTGCTGCATAACATATCATCCCCAAGCTCTGTGGCTTAAAACAACAATTTATTATTTCCCATGGTTCTGTGGGTTGACTGGGCTCAGTGGGATGGGGGTATTCTGTTTCATGTGGTGCAGGCCGAAGTCACACGTATGGCTGCATTCTGCCCAAATTCCTGACCCACAAAATAGTGAGAAATAATAACATGTTGTTTTAAGCCACAAAGTTTAGGGTGATCTGTTATGTAGCAATCAATACTTGTGACACTTCCCTTTCCTTCTTCCCCATTTTCTTTCCTACCCATTCCACCCACGAACTGTATCTTACTATTTTTTCCACTATGTTTGTAGAAGACTCAGCTTTTAATTTTATCCAGCTTAACTGCTTAATTTACAGATTACATCTTTTAACAAGGTGCTTAGTAGGGTCTGTTTAGACAAATGGATAACTGGCATCACTCCAATTACACAGGAGAGGGTGAGCAGAATGCTGACTTCCTGCAGCATTTGTAGATTTCCTTACCATATCACTCTGCAGTAAGTCCATGGTTTTCTTGTGTTCATCCATGGTTTTCTGTACTGCCTCCACAGCGAGATGGACACTGTTTAACGTATTGCCAATGGTAGCTACGCTCTGAACAGAAACATGTTGTAAGGTCAGTGTGTTTTCCTTTTTAAAAACTTTAACAGTTTTTTAAAGATATGACTGATATACAATAAACTTCACATATTCAAAATGTGTAAGTTGGTAAGTTTTGACATATATATACACACCTGGGAAACCATTAGCACAATCGATATAATAAACATTCATCACTCCCAAGTTTCCTCAAGCCCCTTTGTAATTCTTCTTCTCCTGCCCTCCAGCAACCACTGATCCACTATATATCAGTTTGCACTTTCTAGAATTTTGTATAAAGGGGACCAGTGAGTGAGCATGTGGGGTTTTTTTTTTTTTTTTTTTTGGTTTCATTTTTTGTTTTATTGGTATGGCTTCTTTCACTTAGCTTCATTAGTTTAAGATTAACCCATGCCGTAGCCACTTAGCTTGTTGCTGAGAAGCATTCCATCATACGGATACAACACAATTTAACTACTCATCTGTTGATGGACATTTATGGGTTGTTTTCTCTATCTGACTAGTATAAATAAAGCTGCCTTCAGAATTCATGTACAAGTCTTTATGTGGGCATATGTTTTCATTTCCCTTCATCATATGCTTTCTTATCACCATCATACCTAGGAGGTGAATGGCTAATCATATGGTAGATATATGCTTTACTTAATTTAAAAAGCTGCCAAGATCTGTTCTAGAATGATTATACCATTTTACATTCCTATTGGCAATGTAGGAGAATTCCAGTTCCCTCATATTCTCATCAACACTGCTACCTTCAGTCTTTTCAATTGTCGCCATTCTTTTGGGAGTGCAGTGGACTATCCCTGTAATTTTAGGGTAAGCACTGACCGGTACTTTTAATTATTTCAAGCCTCTTCAAATTGAATTTCATGTAGCGTATGCAGAGACAATTAACAGGAATCTACACGTTTATGTTTATATACAGTTGACTCTTCAATAATGCAGGGGTTAGGGTGCGGACCCCTTATGCAATTGAAAATCTACATATAACTTCTAACTCCCCAAAAACTTAACTAAAATAGCCTGTTGTTGACCAGAAGCCTACCAATAGCATAAGCACTTAACACATATTTTGTATATTATATGTATTATACACTTTATTTTTACAATAAAGATACTGTTGTTAAGAAAATCAAAAGACAGGGGCGGGTGGATGGCTCAGTCAGTTAAGTGCCCGACTCTTGGTCTCAGCTCAGGTCATGATCTCACAGTCTGTGGGTTCGAGCCCTGCACTGGGCTCTATGCTGACACAGTGGTGCCTGCTTGGGATTCTCTCTCCCTCTCTCTCTGTCCTTCTCCCGTGTGCACGTGCTTGCTCTCTCAAAATAAATAACAAAAAAGAAAAAAAAAAAGAAAATCATTAAAAAAATTCATTTACAGGACTGTACTGTATTTACTGAAAAAAAAATTGATGTACAAGTGGACTGCACAGCTCAAACCTACGTTGTTCAAAGATCACCTGTATATATAAAATTATATATGTAAAACAAATAATTTTCCCAATTTAAAGGACTTTTCCTAGAGAAAAACTAAGTCTTTGTCTTAAAAAAAAAAATTCTAGTTCATAAATCTGGAACCCACAGATAAGGTTCTCTTACCAATGGCCCTTACTAAGCCCTGTGGTAGAGCAGACAGGCAGAAGGCCACAGCTAACACTGCAGATTGCCACTGTGTCAGGAGCAAATGAGGGCTTTTAAATGAAAATGGGTGGAAGCATTATTGGCTTTGGGAAACCCAGTGTTGCAGAGATGAAGGAAAAATTCCATTTGGCAGCGTTTGTTCCTCCTTTGCTTTAGAATCCCATCAGCATCTGCTGAGTGGAATGAGCCGTGAGTAGTGGCTTACTTTGTCTTCATTAGGTTTAAGGAGCCCAAGTGGACTGGGGACTTGGGAAACATGATTCTGAAACCATCACTTTAAAATTTTTTTTTTTTTCAACGTTTATTTATTTTTGGGACAGAGAGAGACAGAGCATGAACGGGGGAGGGGCAGAGAGAGAGGGAGACACAGAATCGGAAACAGGCTCCAGGCTCCGAGCCATCAGCCCAGAGCCCGACGCGGGGCTCGAACTCACGGACCGCGAGATCGTGACCTGGCTGAAGTCGGACGCTTTACCGACTGCGCCACCCAGGCGCCCCTGAAACCATCACTTTAAAAAGACCTGTCCTAAGGGAACATCCAAAAGAGTGTTACTGTTTGGTGGATGTTCGCCTTTTATTAAGATATACTGACAGTTTTATTGGTTTTATACTAAATATGTTAGTATTTCTAACCAAGATTGTTTTTATTACACTGACAGCCAAGAATCCAAAAGACCAAGAGACGACATTTTCAACATTTAAAAAAATCAACAAGATACACTGAAGTCAGGTATCTGAGATGACCTACCACTTCAAAACTGAGCCACTTGTATTAAAAGTAGTTATCTGACATTATAAACACACAGATTTGCAAAGAGAAAACACACTGGTACAAGTCTCTAAGTTGGGATGTTATCTATGCAAACTGTTGTTAACAGAAGTGATGGGTGTTCAAAGACATCTACTGTTAGAGAATCCTCTCTTGTTGGATGTACGAGCCCATTAGGATGCAAGACAGTAAGCTCTTGTTTAAGATTTTTTTTTAAGGAAGCAGCTGACAGAGCCATGTGAATTCCAGAGCAAAACCCTGAAGCTAGTATTCTTACGACTTGCAAAATGCCTGGCACAAACTGGAGGAAGCTCCCTAAATGTTTATTGAATTAATAAGTGCAATAAACCAATTTTTTTAATATTTATTTTTGAGAGACAGAGAGCGCGAGCAAGTGGGGGAGGGGAAGAGAGAGGAGGAGAGAGAATCCGAAGAGGACTCCGCACTGACAGCAGAGAGCCTAATGGAGGGCTTGAACTCATGAACTTCAAGACAATGACTTGAGCTGAAGCCAGACGCTTAACTGCCTGAGCCACCCAGGCACCCCTCAATGGCGTTTTCTAACGCAAGACTGCCAGAGTTGTTTCTGTGCTAAAGATTACAGAAGCCTACCTTTTTTCCATTGGACCCTTGGGAATGATGACAAGAAGAACTTACTTTATTATGGTTGTCTCCCTGCCTTCTCCCTCCCCCACTTTAAATTGTAAGCAGATGACCATCTTGGATAAACAGGAAAGTACGGAGACTGAGCACACATGGGTGGTATGGCTATAAAATACAAAGTTCTGTTTCTGCATGTGACATAGTAGTGTTTCACTCCTTTGTGGAAATGATTTATATGTTTATAGAGCCTGGCATATAATAAAACTTATCACACACTAATTTTTAAAAGTCAAAGATCCTAGATTTGGCACCCATTTTTTTAAGGCTCCCTTGCTCCAGAATCCCTTTCGTTTCCTGCTGCAGGGGCTGATGTTGCTTGTGTCTCAATTAGGCACCTTTTTCTCCTTCCTACCCGTGGCCACTCTCCCTATTCAGCTCTACAGATCACTTTATATTATTCACCTGGTTTGTCACTGCCACCTGCTCTGGGCCTGAATCCTAGGGATCAAGTAAACAAAAATTCCAAATTATTTTTTGCCTAGGCCCTAGAGTTTAGGATATATACCTAGGAGTGAATTGCTTAGAGTATGTGCACCTTTACCTTTATAAAAAAATATATAATGTTTTCCAAAATGCTTTTTACCAATTTATACTCCCAGCAGGAGTCTTTGAAAGTTTTCTTTGCTCCACATCCTTGCCAATACCTATCATATCCTAAACTTTTAATTCTTGCATTTCCCTCAAATTAGTATTGTTTTTAAACAACCTCTTAACCAAGAAAAAAAATAGCAATTTAGAGCAACTCTCCTGTACAAGTGGTCTGCTTTCATGAAGACATTGTGGATGATGAATTGAAAAGGCAAGTGATGAGAAGCAAACCCACGTTTGTTAACCTAAGAGTCCCCGAAGAGAAATCCTGGGATTCAGGGAGGCAAATAAAAAGGTGTGAATCCGTACAAACCACAACTAAACTCACCTGTTGCAAATTAAAGGCCCAACTAACCAAACTAAAACAGAGATGTTCTGAACTGTTCAGAACACAGTGATATACTCTATTACTGCCCTCCTGGGCCAGAGGATTTCAAATGCCATGCTTTCAAAGAAAACTTGTAAGAAGCTAAAATTACAGCAACAGGTTAATCTCAGTGCCCAAATGCAGCACTTACCTTCTGAAGTCCCTCTACAGTGGCAGGCAAGCTAATTAAGTCCGCAGCAGACTTAACATTGGCTTTGAGGTGGTTTACTGCAGAAGTCAACAGAGAAATCTGAAAGGAAGAGAGTAACAAAAAATGACAACGGAATCTGGAGAATGAATGCTTCCTTCACAGACTCTATGGCTGCTGATGGTATGAAGGCACTCCAGACATCATACCCTGTCAGCTCACAAGAAGAAAGGGAACTACAGCACTTTGGAAAGAACTGAGATCTGGAAGGCAGTAGTAATATCTCTTTTTTGTCTGCTCAATTTAAACACTAGTGCCAAAGAGGGAAGGGTAAGTATTATTGCTTACCCTACTCTTGGCAGCTACAAGATCCAAAATCTTAAATAAACGAAAAGATGCAGTAATCGTAACATAATCCCTCAACAATTGGACAAGGAGGAGGCTAATGATCAAGGACCCCTGAAAGATTTCATTTTGGTAAAAAAAATAACACGTTGGGTATTTACTGAACTTTGGTTGCTGACCAAGTGGGAACATACATTATAAAGTAAAAGCCCATCATCACAAAATACAGTCTACAGGAACTTGTACAACACTTGAAACTACTTGGGGATTCAGTTTTGGTTTAACAATGTGATTAACATTTCACACTCAATAGCTCAATCAAAGTAGTACTCTGTACCTGAAGGGGCTCAATAAATACCCACTGACTCGCTGACTGATTCAGTACATGTATTAAAATTGGAACAGAATAAAAATAAAATGTGTCTTCCCATCTGCTATTTAGGGGTAGAATTCTAAATAGCTGGATTTCTCTCTTGAATGAGGACTGGGGAAATCTGTATAATACATAATTTCAGGCTGTAGAAATCACATTCTAAACACCTTTATAGTGTGGCTCAAAACATTCTTGAAAGATTTTTAGTTCCAAACTGCTTTCCTGTCCCCAATTCTAGGATCAGAACACAGATCTACCAATAGCAATTATATTCAGAATGGCCTCACACAGTAACCACTCAAGTTTCTGGGCACCTGTTATGTGCCTAACTCTGTGGTAGGCACCAGAGAGCTAGCAGACAAAGTAAACCTGATCCTTCATTTTTTCCTTCAATAAATGCCAGGCATCTCTGTGCTAAGCACTGCTGCAGACACTATGGAGACAGTGGCAAACAAGACCATGAGGCTTGCTCTCGAGGAACTTACAGCCTAGTAGAAGGTGAAAGAAAAACAAAGAAGAAAAGCACCAGATTAAGTACTAGGAAGAATTTCAACAGATTCCTGGAGCAACTGACAGTGTGTTCTGAACAAGAAGCCTAGTAAGGAGCCCAGTAACTTAGGAACTGAGTTCTCTTTACCTGTTTCCTTTTAGGAGGGGTATGTTCAGGGACTTCGGGTCCATTTTCACTCATTCATTACTGCAACAAATGAGACCTATTCCATACCAGTGGTGAGTGATCTTGTGGTATTTACATTTTAGTGCAAGCAGACAGACAATTTTATACAAGAAAAACACTAGTGCGGTGGCTGGGTGGCTCAGTTGGTTAAGCGTCCAACTTCGGTTCAGGTCATGGTCTCACTGTTGAGTTGGAGCCCTGCATTGGGCTCTGTGCCAACAGCTCGAGCCTGGAGCCTGCTTTGGATTCTGTCTCCCTCTCTCTGCCCCTTCCCCACATGCACTCTTTCAATGTCTCTCAAAAATAAATAAACATTAAAAAAAAATTTTTTTTTAAAGAAAAAAAAAAAAACACTGGTTAGTGAGGTGCATTAGAAGAAAATTTAAAATAAGTTGACTTGATGAGTGACCGGGTTGCTACCTTAGATTAGATGGTAGCAAATAGATTAGATTAGCTGAGGCTTCGATGAGGGATGAAAATTGAACTGAGATCTTAATAATAAGGAATTAGTCAAAGACTGAATGAAGTACATTGCAGGGCGGAGGGACTTGCTAGGACAAATGCCTCTGTGCAGGGAAGAGCTTGGCATTCTAAAGAACAGAAAGAAGGCTCAGTGGAAGGAACTGTAATGTGAGTGAGAAAGGGGGAGGAGGAAGGAGAAACAGGGAGAGACTGAGGAAGGGAGAAACTGAGGGAGGAAGGGAAGGAGGGAGGTGGAGGGGTAGAGGTAGGTAGGTAACATTAAAGAAATAATTAAGTACTAGATGGTATACTGAATAAAGTTCAGTGAAAAGAATATTTGTGTAGCCTGAAAGGGACAGGCTTCACTGAAGGAGGGCTCAAATTAGACTCTGATGGAGAAGGATTTTATATATAAAAATAAAGCAGCTATTCTTCCTAGGTTAAATAGGTGAGTGTGGCATTAGGAAATAGGGAGCAACAGCATGAACGGGTCCAGGAATACCTTTTCTTCATGGCATTTCTCAGTGACAATAATTTATTTATTTATGTGAATACTTGATTAAGGATACCTCTCCCACTAGACTGTAAGCTCCATGACATCAAGGACCATGTGTATTTTCACATTTTCCATAATATGCCTGGCACATAGACAAGGATTGGTTAAGTATTTACTGAAAGCAATGTATGTATGGCTGAGAAAGAACACTCTGTGTCTAGGATGGACGCTGAGAAGACTAGTCCAAGCAGAGTAGAGGGTAGAGGCCAGGAAGGAGGAGATAAGCCTAAATAAGTAGTCGACTCATTTTTCTCCCCAGTAAAATGCCTAAAACAATAAAAACTGTTTAACAACAATCATCTCATAGGGACATCTGAATGTTTTAAAATAGGTCTACAAAGTGTCTGAGAGTCTTCCCTTCAAGAAGTGGGACATCATCCTTTTCCCTTGAGTGTGGCCTGTCCCTAGTGACTTCCTTTCAGCCTACACTAGACAGTGGAAGTGACAACAACTTTGGACACTAGGTCTTTAAAAGCACCAGGGCTTCCTCTTTGGATCACTCGCTCAGCTGCCCTGCTATGAGAACACTCAAGCAGCCCTGTGGAGAAGCCCACATTGAGAGGAACTGAGACCTGCTGCCAACAGCCATACGAGTGAAGATCCTCTAGTCCCAGGGAAGCCTTCACATGATGCAACCTTGGCCTACATCTTAAAATTTTTTTTTTTTCAACGTTTATTTATTTTTGGGACAGAGAGAGACAGAGCATGAATGGGGGAGGGGGCAGAGAGAGAGGGAGACACAGAATCGGAAACAGGCTCCAGGCTCTGAGCCATCAGCCCAGCGCCTGACGCGGGGCTTGAACTCACGGACCGTGAGATCGTGACCTGGCTGAAGTCGGACGCTTAACCGACTGCGCCACCCAGGCGCCCCTTGGCCTACATCTTAAATGCAACTTTACAGAGATCCTAGCCACAACCACTCAACTAAGATGCTCCCAAATTCCTTACCCCCAGACACTGTGAGATCACAAATGTTTGCTGTTTTAAGTCATTAAGTTTTGAGACAAAAGTAACACAGTGAAAGATGACTAATACAGGCCACGAGGATTAAATGAGATATATAACTAAAGTTCGTAGCATAGTTCTTAGTACACACAAAATACCTGATAAGTGTTAGCTCTTTATTTTTTTATTAAAAAAAAAAAATTTTTTTTTTAACGTTTATTTATTTTTGAGACAGAGAGACAGAGCATGAATGGGGGAAGGTCAGAGAGAGGGAGACACAGAATCTGAAACAGGCTCCAGGCTCTGAGCTGTCAGCACAGAGCCTAACGCGGGGCTCGAACTCATGGACCGCGAGATCATGACCTGAGCCAAAGTCGGCGGCTTAGCCGACTGAGCCACCCAGGCGCCCCGTGTTAGCTCTTTAATAGTGAAATTTAATAAGCACTTGAACATGTAATTCTCCATAAATGCTCCAAAATATTCAGAATACTCTTCAACGTTCCAACTCTATGCACTTGAAATCAATGTGGTTGAGAAACCTCAGCCCACATAGAGATATTCTCAGCAAACTATAACCTCTTAAGAGTAGCAATTACATCACAGAGGTTGCTTTAATCCACGCCTTTAAAAAGATATGAATAATACTGGGGTTTGAAAAGGACATAAGGAAAAAGGCATTCTTAATGGGAATGTAAACTGGAGAAGACCTGTAAGAACGTTATCTAGGAGTATCTGTCAAAATTTGAGTGCTTATATCCTTTAATTTAGCAATTTCATTTCTAGAAATCTATCTACACATAACTTGCTCATGTACACAAAGATGTACGCACGAGAATATTTACTCCTTCCTTATTTGTAATAGCAAGACACTAGAAACCATTTTATCTATTGCTAAGGATAAAGAGATGTATTCAGGGAACAAAACAAGTTGTACAATATATACTGAATGACTCCATCCATTTGGTCTCATACACACACGCTAACCCATAAGCTAATTCATATTAAAAGCTATTATGATTTTGTTAGAAAGGGGACTAGAAGAATGCAGTACAGACCAATGGCAGTGGACACCCATGGGGACAAGAAATGTGTATGTGACGGGGGAACATACAGAGATGAGGGTTGAAAGGGAATTTTCATAAGAGTTCCTTACGTGTCTTACTGTTTAAACCTTACATAAGAATACATTCACATACTACTCATAAAATTTTAAACACAAAAGATGGGAACGAAATACACATAGGAAAAAGACATCACAACTCTGGAAGGGTTTAATAGATTTCCTTGGCTGGCCCTTTCTTCCATGCCCTTCACTGGGCCTTCCAAGGCTATCTGAACATGCTTAGCTCAAACATAAAAGCTAGGAAGGAGGCCATCCTCCAGGTAGGTATGTTTTACTCAGTACTCCAAAGTATGTACACAATCAACTCAATACCAATCTGATGGTGAGAATATGGTTATTCTAAATGCCCCATCAATTTTGCAGTTACCTTTTGGCCACCTAAGGGAACAAATTCCTTCCACTGACAATAGGCCAGGTCCTAAAAGACACAAGCTGTGTTCTGGGTGGAGTGATCCAGGTAGACACTATTCTCCCGGGTACTGCAATATCCTGAGGCTATGGTAGAGTCTGATGCTAATCAGAAGTATCTCAAGAATGGCAACTGCCTCCCATTTAAATGGCCAGTGTAGGATGGAGGCAGGGGAGGGGGCACCTGGAATAAAAAAACCCAAAAAACAAAAAAACCCCACAAATGGCCAGTGTGGTTGGGGGCAGCCACCACTTCACCCAAAACCAGAGGAGCAGGTGAAAGCCAGGCCTAGGGTATCAGCTGCCTCCCTGAAAGAGGATGCGCTGACCATTAACTCTCTAATTACCAAACATCACTTAGGACCTCTTATTTATAAGTCTTGAGCCCCACACTGGTCACTAGGACTCAACTACATCCCCGTAACTGCAAAGCTGGACTCCATCTGTCAGCACTCCTCTCTCAAGAGTGGAGTAATGTTAGTATCTGTGGAAAATTACAGCAAAGCTACATGTGGAACTAGAGTGGACAGACAAGGGGCACTCTCCTTTTACTATCTCTGGGACTCCTCTGGTTTCTAATAGACATTCTAGAATGTCAGATAGGATTCAAGTATGACAGAATTTATCTCTAAAAGTCACACGCTGTAGTTCAAAGAGTCTCAAAAGTTGAATTAAGAAAAAATTCCACATTCCAGCCAAAAGATTATTCATGACTTTTATGCATATTACATGACTTTTCATTAGCAGAATTAAAAATAACTACTGTAGACCATTTGCTTATCAGACCATCTCCTACTATAAAGTCTGAAATGCTGCTTTTTTTGCTCTGGGGCTAAAATTAAGGATTCTTTAAACAGTAAGTAAAAAAGTTACTAAAACAGATAATCATCAGTGTTGAATGATGAGTCTTAGTAGAAACCTGACATCACAACCTTTCAACTTGATCTACTGAGCACTTACTGCATCCTATAGAGGATATAAAGATGTAAGGCAGAATGGAAAACTGGAAAGAAAACGGGCTCCCATGCCTTGAATATTTTAATGTTAGCAATGCTACGCATCTATGTAACCTTGAGCAAACTACTTAACCTCTTTGGGCCTCCGTTTTCATATCTGTAAAATGGAGATACTACCTCCTACTTCAAAGGGCTATAGAACCAAAAAAGGAGACCATGTTATGTCATGCATTTAACAGTGGACTACACAAAGAAAACATTTCATGAATGGCAGTTGTCATCTTAACTGCCATCATCATCATCATCACCATCATCATGCTTAAAGTTCGCACTACAGTATATGACCTTGTACTGTAATTAGATGCATATACAAATAATTATAACATAAGGTTATTGGGACTGAGTGCCAAAAGGGATACAGAGCATACTATAAAAAGGCACTCAAGGTCCTCTGGCTCTTGCTGACATATCCTTACTTCTGGCCTCTTTCTGCCAAACTATAGCTATAATGAACTACTAAAATTCTCTAAACACACCGTGGTTTTCATTTGTCTATTCTTTTGGACATAGAGTATATTCTCATTATTTGTAATAGTTACGTTCTAGAAAGTTGCAGCAAAAACTGGATTAGTGGCTACTGAACCATTGCTCCTAAGGGAAGCAGAGGGTTAGGTTCCTGAGAGCTCTCTGGTCACATTTTTGGCTACTGGTCAATATTATACGTAACCCTTGTTTTACGTGTGTTTCTGTTTAAAGACATCTTACTAAACGTATATTGCCGAACTCATGCCTGAAACTTATCTAACACACGTATTTTCTCTGTAAGGCATATCACAGCCTTTCTGCACTTAGGAATATTAGCTAGTACTTCAGCACTATGTTAGGGGGACATTTCAAACAGTGAAATCACCAAAAATTCCACAGAAGTGTGAAAACATTCCACTAACTATAGTTCGAAAAGGAAATCTGTTTACAGTATGAGAGCTGAAACAACAGAGTGTCACTTTGTTTGACATCACCTGGAAACGTTTGTGTTGGGTGACTCAAATATTTTGCCACTCTATGCCCATCAGTGAATGACTATGAAAGCACGACAAGTAAGGATTTGGGGGTTAAAAACAAATTTTAGCAAGTAGGTGAATTCACAAATATAGAATCTCCAAATAAGGATAAACTTTAGTAATGTTTTACCTATGACACTCTTCTTTCTGCAAACTTCACCTGGCCAACTCCTATGTGCCCTTCAGGACTCAGCTCAAGATACGTGAGAAGCCTCGTCTGGCCCCAGCATGCTCCTTAATACATACTTAAAAATACCCTCACAGCACTCATGTGGACCTGTTTCTTATTGCTCAAGAGGCTGTATAACAATTGTTCACTCTTATCTCCTCCATTTGACTGTAAGAGCCTTGAGGCAGAAGTCACATCATTTTTGGTTTTGAATCCAAGGCCTAATTCTAAAAGAGCAGCTCATTAAACATTTGTTGAATTACTGGCCTTCAAAGAAGGGGGAGGAGACTCCCTATAATGGTTGAGAATGGCTATGGGTATGAAATTAGAGATTTCTCATGAATAAAACAGAAAAGTAAATGAGATTTTAACTATTAGTTTAAAGGTTTGCAATGCAAAATTTGATTTTAACTTATTTCAAATTAATGGCTTTCTTTTTTCAACTCACACTGTGATAAGGACAGTTCTTGTTAAGTGGTAAATCCATTTTCTTATTGTTTAAGCCACTCTGAGTTGTTCTTTAAAAAATAATTTGCCAATAAAAGCATCTTAACTGACAGTTACCCTTAGATATGGAAACATGGTTAAATACTAATTTTATTTTTAGACCTATTTTGATTTAGGACAAATGCCTTTTACTTGAGTACACCATCAGATATGTGTATCATTAATTTCAGAACATCACTCAGAGAGTGAAGGGCTCCCCTTGGACCAACACAAAGCTCACTTCACTACCACGCATCCTCCTATGCCGTTGCCAGAAGAGAATTCCTCTGCATCAGGCTGGTCTCATCAGTCCCCTCATCTCTGAAGATCTATGGAGACTAAAATGGAAAGGGCTTCAGTTCAATCTCTCCCAGTTTTGTACATGAAACCCTAGGATTGAAGTAAACTTGTCTGTATGCTTGCCTTCCCAGGTACTTCTTGCGTTAAAAATAACAGCCAGGCCAAGAACAAAATGATTCTTTTGTTGCTAGATTCCTGGTTAAAGAGAGTTCAGAAGCCAAAATATGTAGCAAACATTTGAAAATCTGTGTGACCTCTCACACCAAGTACCAATTTCCTCTTTGACTCTTCCCACAATGCCGATTTACGTGAAGGAGATGGGAAAGAGCTGACATTGACTCTTCATCTTGAAAGATTTCATTCTTGCCTCTTCATGACTAACTATATCAATGGAATCCATGGCTTGCCCCAGTGAGGGATGCTAATTAATTATTTCTCAGTGCTTTGCTGTGGTCTATTTTCACCTGATATAATCTCTGGTCAAACTGCTAATTTGCTCTGTCAATATAAGCAAGGCTACAATTTATCCTATTCTTTTTACAAAAAGGGAGTGAATACTTGCTTTTCCTTTATTACTGAGAATCCAAAGACAAATGATAACGAGTAAATACTAGGTGCTACAACCCATCAATTATTTCATGAGTGATTTAAGAAAGTGAAATAGAACTGAATAGAAACCAGTAAACATAAAGCATATTAAGGGTAAGTTACTGTTTTCAGAAACTTTTATTTAGGTTACCCATATATGTATGGAGATCAATGTTTACTGGGTAATGACATAAAACATTTATTTTTATGGGTTCGAGGCCAAAGTCTGAAAACCACTGACACAGGCCACTGACCCCTGGTCTCAAGAGCTGAACTGCCCCTCTCACACTGCTGCTGAAAGATGAGAATAGCTTTGGAAATGTGTGTAAGCACTTTATTCTAGCACAGAGCTCCCTGCCAGTGGCTGATTCTGAACATTGTGACTCCATTCTGAAGAAGAGAATATCTTCTTAGCTCCAATGAAGATGGTATATTTATTTTTAAATACTTTGCAGGTATACCATTCATTTGGTACTTGAGTTGTGTTGCCAATGCATAGCTTTTGTAACTAAACTGCAAAAACTGGGGACAGAGGCTGAGTACCTAGTGGCAACTATAGTACCTTATACATAGGAGATTCTTGACCAACATCCTTTGCATTAGCCCTTTTCCTGTGGCAGAACCCCTCTTCTGGAATCAATGCCTACTGAGAACTGGCCAATTTAGGGGCTTTTCCTCTAGGCTTGCTACCAACTCTGCTACCTCTTCCTATGCTACTCTAGAATAACTATTATTAGCTATTGATGGTTTACAGAGTTTTTTTTTCTAACAACAGTGTATAGCACTAAACTCAAGGCTGCAACTGTAAGTCTGTGAACTCTAATTAAACAAAATAAGCTCTCATTATCTAATACAAATCGACTACCCATTTTTCTTAGAGGTCAGAATGACACTCTTTCTTTATCTGACACCTACAATGCTCCTTAGGAAATGTTGACTCAAGAACTTCTAACTCCCTCCAAACTACTCTATTTGGTAAAACTGTTGCTTTACAGAAAAGGCTAACATCTTAAATATTTGGCAAATGCAAAACTATTACCCATTCTGCCTGACTGTAATGTGTTCGGATTATAGCATGCAAGACATCATTTCAAAAAGTAAGACAACTGGAAGTGAGTGCTCTATACCTACAAATTCATACTAGACAAACTAAATATTCACAGACTACACAGAAATAAAATCACACATTTGCTACCTGCTTATTCATTTCTGTGATGTTTATCCAGACTCTGTTCAATCCCAGCTCCCCAGATTCAATCTTCTCGAGTTGTTTTTGTTTGCTGAGCAGTTCTTCGTTAAGTTTGGGAATTTCTTGGAATGAGCTTTTCTGATTAGATTCCACTAAAAGCAAAAACAAGAATAATCATAAATAGCCAAAGTTCCTCATGACTCCAAGATGAAAAAATGATCATACGTTAGGAAAGAAGACAGATTAGTAAAAGTTAATCCTGATAGGATGACTGAATTTGTATCTGATCAGCTATACTGTTCTTTTATTTATGCAAACATATATCTTTAGTAAAAGCTCCATTTTAACTGGGGCTATTTCACTACAGGCAACTTTTAAAAGTCAGATGGCTAAAAATGATAAAGTATCAGCAAAAAGAGTTGGACTTGGATCTTAACTGTGTAACTTACTGTGATCTTGAGTAAATTACTCAAATTCTTTGAGCTCAGTTTCCTCATCAGGGATAAAATATACTTTATAGGGCTTTTATTTTTATTTATTTTTAGTTTTTTTAAATGTTTGTTTATTCTTTGAGAGAGACAGCATGAGTAGAGGAGGGGCAGAAAGAGGGAGACACAGAATCTGAAGCTGGCTCCAGGCTCTGAGCTGTCAGCACAGAGCTCGATGCGGGGCTCGAACTCACAGAGTGTGAGATCATGACCTGAGCCCAAGTCGGACACTTAACCAACTGAGCCACCCAGGCGCCCCGAGGATTTTTGGAATTAAGTGAAAGAATGGCTGTAAAGTAAGTACTAAACAGGGCTGGTCAGGCATACAATAAGTGATAAATAAATATTAAGTATTAACCAGAGCAATTAAGGAGATTTGTGATTAGTCAGTGAAGATTTATAAACCTTACTCCATTAATGCTCAAGGTGACATCAAAAGTATATCTCGAAGTGCTTAGATCTACTTTTTTTATATCTCAAACTGGTCAAATGCAAGATAGGTTCTTAATCACCTTTCAAGTGCTGTTATGAGGATTACAATTCTAAATCTTTTTCATAAACAGCAAAGTGTTTCCTCAAATCTTAAATCAACCCAAAAGCTCAAAGTGAAATAGAAGATAAAGGAACACGTTAGGTGAAGCACAGGGTGATATTTGAACTTTCCTTTGGGAAACTGTAACTTCTGACTGGTTTAGAGATTTGCCAGCCTGAATGCAGAGGCCTGAAAGAGTCCTTCCTCTTCTGCCTGATAAGCTATTGTACATTTCCTTTAAAACCAAAAAAACAAAACAAACAAAACAAAAAAACCCCTGGCATACAGGACAGATATATAACAATTTACTAAAATTTAAGCACCATGACTTTTTTTGGTTCCTCCCTGTGAAGCCAGCTTTGGAATATACCTGACACATCTTAGGCACTCAGTAAGTATCACTGATCAAATAAATCTGGTCTGTGCTTACCTCCCAACCACATTTCTCATCACTTTACATAACTCTTCAAACTATCTCCCAGCCAAATGGATTTCCCAGACATGAACCTCTTTAAGCCTCGGTGACCCTGCGCACACTATTCTTTCTTCCTAAATGCCCTTGGCTTGCTCCTTCTCCATTTGTTACTTTAGCCTAGTTAATTCCTTTCAAGATTCAGCACAAATAGCTGGGCTCCCGGCTTGGACCACCACCACTTTACCATTCCAAACTCTGCAATGCACTTAACACACTGTGCTCATTACATACATTTAACACATCTGTCCTCCTCTATCAGACCAAGAGAGAGCTGCTTAAGGACAGGGACCAGGTTTTATTTGTCATGTATTTCCAGCACACAGCACAGTGCCAGGTACACAGAAGCACCCAAATGCTTGTCCAGGGAAATAACTGTAGGGTATGAAATGGAACTAATGTTATCCTATTAAGTAAAACAAAGAAAATGCAATCAAACAAACTCAACAACAAAAAGTCCCCAACAAAACTGGGGATGGGGTGGTGGTGGTATCCCTACTGCAAACAAGCCCACTACCTCAAAATTCAGATTTAAAAAATTAGATATTTTTATTAATTTTTCAAAAATATGTGTGAAATGGTTTCTTTACAAATGAAAGATTTCCCTTAGTGCTTTTATTTTTTTCCCCCCTCAGGGCTTTTAATGTAATATTTGACTCACACAGTTTGCAGGAAAACATCCATCCAACAGTAAGAACATTTTACCAGTCTAAATTAATACAGCACTTAGCATTTCACTGAATTTCTTTTACGTTTTCAGTGAGGTTGTAAAGTAAAACTTATCCCACATATGCCTGTCATTCTCAGGCGGTCAAATGTCCCAAGTGGGGGGTGGGACGGGAGCCGGAATCTTTCCTATAGTTTATATGAAAGAAGTAGAAGGCAGGAGTGGAAGAAGAAATAAGACAAATACATCAGTAACTTGGGTCACAGTTATCAACTAACAAACAAATAAAGCTGATAAGCCCTGAAAACACCCTGGATACTTAAGATGGTATGAGCCAAGAGATGATCATTTTCATTATCTGATTTGGGGCTTTTTAGGAGAGACCAGCTCAGTCAAGGTATTTTGACTACATAAACGGGAGGAAGGGTAGCAAACAACTTATAATTACTAATTTATGTTCTTTCAACATGGAAAGCAACTCATTTAAAATTTGGTATATTAATACTCAAAGGACTTTACATAGCTCTTTTTCTGATCTCTAAGATAATGAAATAGAGATTTCTGCATACACTCTGGTCAGAATACATACAATATCGACAGCAATATTTTATATTTAACACTTTAGTTTGCAATAAACTTTTGTGTAATCATTCAAACTTGTTATGGAGTCTCTACCATGTACCCAGTCTTGCATGCAGCACTAGTGCATACAGAAGACCCTGAAGCTTTCAGCCTACGGGGGAGCAAGGTGTTGTCACAGAGTTACTATGCAATGTGACAGATGTTACGACAGAGAGATGCCCAAAGTGCTTTGGTAGCATAAATAGGTCTTTGTGTTCTATGGATGAGAAAATCATGGCTCAGAAAGAATAAGCGACTTATCTAAGTTTTACAGCTAGCAATGAGCAACCCAGGATTCATCAGTCAAATCTGCTCTTAGGGCCAGTACTCTCTCTAGAATACTCCAGCTGTCAGACACTTACCTCCTAAAGCCTTCATCACCACAAGAACACTTTTAAGTTCTGTACTAAATGACCAAACTGCTACTCTGCCTGTGTGACTGAAGAGATGGCCTAATTTATTAATATTTTCCTTCTTTTCCAAATTCTTTTTCTCTACTCTAGTGTTTCATTGTTGAATGACAGGGAGGGATGGTTGAGAACGGAACCTTCCTTAGAATAACTGTGGAGGTCTTCTGAAGTACCTGGGTCTGGAAAGAATACTGAGCTGAGTTTCAAGGCCAGTTAGTACCTTTAGCTTCAGTATCAAGTTACTTTTGGACCACAAGGAAAAATACCAAGTCTATCGGATTTGCTTTCTATTTCAGATATTTCAGCAATCCTGCCTCCTTTCCTGACAAATGTCTTTGAGAAGTTATTGAAATAAAGAACAAGGGCTCTGAATTTCCCAACAAGCTAGTAAAGCCAGACCAGCAGGTGGTCTTAATTAAATCAGTGGTTTCCAGGGTCCTCTTGAAAAACAAGAAATAAATTTCTTGAAATATATTTAAAGTAGAAATGTAATTCAAAGAAAGACTATTTAAGCTTAACATGACTGACCTCATTTACTCAAGATAATGGTTTAAAAAAAAAAAACACCTCTGAGGCCAGTGGTCCACGATGGTTCAGCCTACTGACTATGCCCCGTGATCTACCCCCTAGAAGTCCTGCTTCAGACATTACAGGGCTGACATTTCTTTTTTTTAATTTTTAATTTTTTAAAATGTTATTTATTATTGAGAAAGAGAGAGAGACAGAGCATGAGCATGGGAGGGGCAGAGAGAGAGGGAGACACAGAATCCAAAGGAGGCTCCAGGCTCTGGGCTGTCAGCACAGAGCCCAACACAGGGCTTGAACCCACGAATCATGAGATCATGACCTAAGCCGAAGTCGGACACTTAACCGACTGAGCCACCCAGACACCCCTACAGAGCTGGCATTTCTATTGCAGAAAACCAAAGACAACAAAGCAGCTGGACTGACCATTCCAAATCTGCTTCACTCAGCTGGCTGACAAATGTAGTCAGGGTCCCAGGGGACTGTTGCTCAATGGTAGAAAGCAGGTCTCATAGTTCAGGGTACAATTCCTGGCATCTCCTGAATGTAGTATTTCCAGGGATTGATATTAACAAGTGTTCAACAAATATTTGTTGACTGATTGATTGCCAGGTCAATTATGTGTATACACTTCAAATATACATTTCTAAAAAAGAAATTCCCTGAAAAGCTCAGCTAAGGTATAAATTACATGGGTGTCCTGTAAACACAAGCACAGAGCAGTCAGAGAAAGGAACTCCTGGAGGGTAGAAGTGAGCAATGTTTTGAAACGTATAAATAAATAATTGCTATACATGATCAAAACAAACTATAGCACAAACCTAGGTGGCCCAATTAATTATATAGAGATGAGGGCACAGGCAGGTGTCTTTAGTGGTTATATATAGTTAAACATTGTTTCTGAGAACCTCATTTCCAAGTTATGATTACTGGCTTACAAAGACAACACTGGCCTTAAAAACACTTTGTAATACTGGTATGGACAGCCATTAAGGAAGGAAATTAATTAGAATACAAATCTCATTTTTTCTTATACTGTACTCTGATTCCACCAGTTGATTAAACATATAGGTCAAGATGATTCTGGCAGAGAACTGTGGTTTACCCAGTTCCATTCCCTGAATCAGAAGAAAAGCAAAATTAGTATTTCAACATTTTTTTCAAGCAACAACACTAAGAACTTTACTATCACAGTAACTAAGGATTAGCTGCCTCTAGGTCAGGTTCGGAACTTGAATAACTGCAGGCAGCAAACAGAGGGTGGGGTGAAGGAAAGCCTGGAGGTTGTGATCTCCGAAGGATGGAGATGGGAAGAAGGGACACAGCTCTAATTCCAGTTCTGGAGCCAGATTTTGTTAAAACCTTGAGAAAGCCTAGTGGTCAGTTACCCCATGTGCTAATACTGCTAGGGTTAAGGCATTTGGGATTAACTTGAAACTGGTTCTTTAGCTTAGAAAATTAACTCCTGAATCCTAGAACTAAAGATCTCAGTGTTGCTGAAGGAAGATACTTAGGTTAAATCTGGTGGAAGCTACTATGCAAATACACCTTTCAAATAAAGTACCTCGGACATGGCAAAATATAAATTTATAATTTAAAATATATAAAACTCTTGAACTTAAAAAAAAAGCTTCTTAAACGGCTGTCTCATTCATGAGACAAATATTTATTTGTGACTTGGTACACAGTAGGCACTCAATAAATGCTATTATTATTGCCCATTCCCGTTTCCATATGGTGTTTCTTAAGGAGGAAACGGACAGACATTCCCACATTCTTTCTCAAATGGCCCTGTGAGGAGGAAGGAAATAGCCCAGTGTGGCTACTGCCACTTCATCTTTGGGGAAATATAAGTGGCAACAGGCTGAGGTTCACCAAGGTTCTAGACTCCTGGACTTTAGCACTTCCTTTCTGCACCTTAAGTGTTGACTGCAATGCCATGATTTCAGATGCTATTTTTCATGATGGTACATAAGCATAACTTTTTGTTTGTGGGTTTCAAAAATACAAACAGCTATTCTCACATTCAAGCTGACAGCTAAGAAAAAGTATAAGAAGGCTGGAAGGAATATATAATTGGGCAAACTCTTAATTCCACTCTGTGGACCTAGACCTGGAAATAAGATAATACTCTGAAAAAGGCGACCACTTACTTGTTCTAAATTTTTCCTTGAGGGCATCCAGATCCTCCTTCAGGGCAACTTGCATCCACACCAACCCAACGCAGGCCACAACACAGGCGGCAAGGATGACAAAAGCACAGAGGGGATAACAGATCTTGCAGCATCGTAAGTAGTCTCCCCTGATCATAAGAACAGATTCAACCAGGAGTACAAAAATGATTATGAGTACAGCTGTATTAGAAATAGCATACATGTGTTGCCATATAGTTGTTTACCAGGGAACATTGGGTAACACACATAAGTCTGAACAGCGGGTTGAAGATGACTAATTAAGACCTTATGAAGAGTTCATCTTTTGGATACAAAGGTTTCAAACTTCACATGACACAGAAAGAGATCCTGTGGGCACGGCAGCCCACAGCCATCATCATGGATTAAGGTCTTTGGAGATACACTCGTGTTAGGAAAGTGTAAAGACCAGATGTCTGCAATTCCATTACAGCACTACAATTTCCCTATTTCTGGCTCTCCAACATATATTCCCTCCAGGGGACCCTATTTCCTATTATTGAAACTTCATAGACTTTTGAGCAAGTTTTAGTGCAAACAGAAGAAATAGGAGCCCGTAGGTTTAAGTGGACACCTGGAGCACTCTAGCTTATCGGCTCAGAAGGCAGGAAACATGGAAAAGGGTTAGATTTCACACCAAACTTCAACCAGCACTCAAGGTCTAAAGTAACTCATCAGGGCAACTATTCCAGTAGAACTATTCATCATCTTTTCACATCCCAAATCTGAGACTGCTTTTAACTGCTTGATTTGACAAAGCTCATTAGAAACCAAACTCTTCCTTTAACAAAATAAAAGGACAAAGACACTCTAAACAAACAAAAAAACCTCAAAGGATTTATCTCTTTTAGCACTCCAACCTTCTGCCTAGCTCTAGCTTCCACATCCTCGGCAGAATATTCTTTGAGTGTGCTCTCTTGGGAGGGTCCCAGGGCACCTTTGAGGTTCCCTTTAGCCTTTTTCCATCCTGGGCCCAATTCCCAATGTTCTCAAAGCTCATTTGGAGTTGCCTAGTGGCTGCACCATCTCAAAGTGATTTGGAAAAAAGTTGCCTCATCTTTTCGTCTCCCACTCTCCACATACTCTCAAGTGTCACACTTTGTATGTTCCTCACCATATCCTCCCACCATCAAGATTCAGACTCATCAAGAGTGTGAAAAATAATCTTCAGCCTTAAAGTTCCTGTCTTTACTACACTTTTAAAAAAAGGTCTACTCCCCAAAGCTTCTTTGCTCCCATGTACCTATTCTTAGCTTTTCTGCCACTCCCAACTTGCTCTCTCTGGGCTCTTGGCACATTCCCCAAGTCCATACTTCCACCCTGGATTCTGAATTCTTTATACACTTACAGACAGATCTCTAACTTCTTCATTCAGAACCTGAGCTCATCTTCTCCCTAACATCTTTTCTTCCTGTTTGCTGTCCAAGGTCTACACCCTTTTTGCTTTGTAAGAACACCCTTCTCCTTCCTTTCAATTTTCCCCTTTGGTAATATAAGGAAATGCCTTTTCCCCACCCCACCCCTCACCACTGCATCACTCACTTGACGAAACGAGAGCGATTTCCAACTAAACCGAATTCTTCTTCCTCCTCAGAGCTGGATTCAGAGTCTGAGTCGGGAGGCTCAGTGCGAAGAAGGCGGTGGCCTGAGCCTTTCTTGGGCTTCTTTCTCCGACTGTCCCCAGCCAAACCAATCAATGCATTGAGCTCTTTGCGCTTCTTCATCTTCTTGTGTGGGGTGAGTGGAGCACCCACTCCTGAGCTGCCAGGTTCGTACCCGACGCCCAATTCTCTCGCTGCCTTGGAGCTGCCTTCCAGGGTGGGGAATCTGGGCCAGAGCCCTGGGTCACTCCCACCCAGGGGTGGGACTGACCAGATCCGCTGGGGGCTAGAGATTGGAGCCCAGAGGAAAGTGGAACTCAGATGGGTGGGGGAAGTCACATAGAGATGGCCAGGGAGCTGGTGATCAAAATGGGTAAGGCTCTGGGCATGGAGTTTCAATTAGATAAGAGGGTGGATAGGGGAGCAACCTCTATCTCCCAGTAAGTAGATATTTCTAAGTGTGCTCCAGGAACTGGGGAAGGGCACACAGATGGGTGTTTTGGCCTTCCAGGGCAGGACTTCCAACTGAGAGCGAAAAGAAACTTGTTCTTGAATGAGAGGAGAGGGGGAGGTGCAGAGCTAGACAGTGGGAATGCGCTAGTCGCTCTCTAGCTGGAGAGGTGGCAGCAATAAGGGGCTCGCAGCCCCGACACAGCCTAAGCGCCAAGAAAATGCCCGGGTCGGGGTGATCACGGTCCTTCGGCCTCCGCCCTGAGTTTGAAAGGAGCCCGAGACTGAGGAAGGCCTAGAACCCGGCTCGGAGGGCTAAGCCTGTCAAGCGCCAGTCCTTCACCTGGGAGACCCCAACCCTCCTGTCTGGGCCAGCGGCGTGGCGCGGTGCAGAAGGGCGACGGCGGCTCAGCCCACCTGAAGCGCTCCCGCCCAGAGTTTGAGGTGTTCGGCAAGGGCGACTCTCGGCAACTCACATGCGCCGCTTCCACTCCAGCCGCGACTCCGGCCCCCGCTCCGGTTGCAGCCGCAGCTGCTCCAAACGTGCTGGCGGTGGCGGCGGCGGCGGCGGCGGCGGCCGCGGGCTCCAAACCCGGGCCATCGCTCCAGCCCCAGCTCACTTCCCCTTTGGCACAGCAGCCGGCACCGCCTGCCAGTAAGCCGCGCTTCCATTGGCCGTCAGCCGGGTGACGTCACACGAGGACGCGAGCAGTGGTGGGAAGCGGGGCGTTAAAGGGGCCCTGGCTTCGGCGAGGGCTGGGTCCCGCCGGCAGTTTGGGGAGGCCCCGCCCCCAGGAGGGCCACTTGGGACCAGCCGGTTCACTTGTCCGGGGCGGAGTTTTCTTTCGCCAGGTGCTGGGGTGAAGGCCGGCAAAATACCCAGCTGCTCGACCTGCTTGTAAAATGCATTAGCCACCTGACCCCCGGTTGTGATCTGGGCTAACACAGTCTAGAGACTCCGCCCCCCTGACTCAGTTGCTGTTTATGAAAAGTTTAGGCGTGTTACAGGTTAGTGACCCGGTTGAACACATTCTTTCATTGTATAAATATTTTCTGAGAGCTTACTACTTGTCAGGAGCAGCTCTAGCGCTGGGGACACAGCGATGAGCTAAATAACCACCTGCTTTTCTGCGTAGGGTTGCCAGATTAAACAAAAACAGCACATCAGGAAAACTTGAATTTCAGATGAACAACGAATTTTTTTCAGTGTATAAGTATATCCCATGCAATGTCTGAGACGTCTTCATACTGGAAAGTCAATCTTTTTTTAACTCTGAAATTCAAATTTAACTGGATGTCCTGTATTTTATCTGCCAACTCTATTTCTGCAGCTTATATTCTAGTGGGAGGAGAGTAACAACGGGCAAGTATATTAAATGTCAGGAGGTGACAAATGTTATGAGGAAAACTGAAATGTGATAAGGGGATAGGGAGTGGCTCATGATAAGGGAGGGGGCATTTGGTTAGATACTGGGAGGAAGACAGGTGGGGAGTTGTGCGATGGCCTTGAGGAAGGAGTGACCTGGAAGATCTGGTGTGGCTGAACCTGAAGAACAAAGAGGAGATTGGTGGGAAATGAGGGCAGGCAGTGTCAGGGGCTAGATCTTGTAGGGCTTTATGGACCATGATGAAGACTTTGGGAAAAGTTTGGTGCTTAAAACTGTGTCAAAATTTCAGAAATAACAGAAGTTAAATCAATGGGTCATAGAAGTAGTAATTAGTAAAACTGTATTGTACATACACCACTTAAAGACAGTTTGCAAACTGGGAGCAATCAAACCAAAACTTGGAATTAGGCTCAAGGGTATATCATTATAAAAAAGCTTGTATAGGGGCATCTGGCTCAGTGGGCTAAGCATCCAACTTCGGCTCAGGTCAGGACCTCAGAGTTTGTGAGTTCGACCCCCACATTGGGCTCACTGTTCTCAGGGCAGAGTTCGCTTTGGATCCTGTCTCCCTCTCTCTCTGCCCCTCCCCAGCTCCCTCTCTCACTCTCTCAAAAATAATAAACATTAAAAAAAAAAAAAAGAAGCTTGTATAGTAACAAAGCAGTGACTTCACAGTGATTGGTTATAAATATTAGAATTTTCTTAAATGATAGGGAATTGGCCAGTGGTTACCTCACATTAACCTTGGAAGCAATTTAAGTTTTGCTTATGATTTCCAGGGGCACAAGCAACCCAGGTCAAGTTAGCCTTGCAAACTTAAAGCTAAATTAAGCTTTATTTGTATGATTAAACTGGCTTTGTCTGCTCAGGGAGTTTTCAAGGCTGGTCTCCATTTGTTTTTGATTTTAATAATCCCCCTTCCCCACATTTTGGTCATTGTCTCAGCACGCTGAGGGTATGACCAACCAATATAGCATTATTCTTGGTTACTACCATTGATGTAGTCAGGCTGAAGAATCACACATTCTATGTTCCCAGTAGTTGAGTCATCAGGCAGGAGGGCCATTAGTTACCATCTTCATCATTTACGTGGCTATTGCTGATTTCATTCAGTTGTCTGATCCTGATGGCTACCATTTGGCATATGAGTGGCTGCTGAGGCATTTAAAACCCTCCAGAGTATGCAACATGCTGGAGAGGTTAATGTGATGACTGTAAGGAAAACAATAACCAAGGACTGAGAAATTTTCCAGAGCAGAGATTCCCAGGGGCCAAGATTTAACCAACTAAATAACTCAAATGGGTTATAATCAGATTCATGTTTTACCTAAGTCAATCTATATTTTTTGAATAATGTGCAATTGGGTTTCAATTTTTTATGAGTTATTTATTTACATAGGCATCACATCATGTATTAGCATGATTAGTTAGAACAGGCTGAACTTGAGAAGGTTGTAGGTCAGAAGCCAGTGTTGGCTAAATTGGCTTCTATTTGATGTGAGCAATCAGGTAGTTTAATGAGAGGGATTTCTATGGAAACAAAATAAAAACAAAGGTTGATAGTTCAAGCAAATTACAAATACTGCTTCTGAGTTTGAGGTTATGATTCTGTATAATCATCCCCATTTCTGCCAAAGATAACCACAGTAAGACTAGTTTGTTTATAAATTAAGTAGTTTCAATAAATGGGGCCTGATTATTTGCATAAGTACAGCAAGGATAGTGACTGACCATATAGGCTCTTTAAAATCTGCTTTGCTAGAACTTCTCTCAGATTGCACTTTCCAAAGCTTCTTGAGGCTAGGAAGCCAAGCCAATGACTTGTCCAATTGTGTCCTGTTACAAGGAGAACAGATTCTTATTGAACTTATGCAAATATATATATTATCATAAAAACAAGAATATTTAATAGGAGTTTCTGAATACAGGAGGGATCAGGTAGGGAGAAAAAGAAATGTTTTAACCTTGGTCACAAAGACATTTTACCAAATTGCTATAAGTTACAGATAGCATGAAAGAGAGGAGAAAAAGGGGTTCTTTAAATCTGGAGAACAAAGCATTAAAGAACTAGCAATTTTTTTTCCCCCAGTCTTTTTTTTTTTTTTTTTTTTACTAGCAATGTTTTAAATGGAATAAAAATTACAATCATCTCATCAGTTCCTTCAGTGTTAGGCAATTAATCCCTAACTTTTGCTTCATCTTGAGTTAGCAGCTTTATGAATCAATCAGCTTTCCATTGGAGCTTTAGAAATTCTTACTTTATGTGATGTTCTGATCTTAACGATACCAGAAACCTGAATTTTAGAATACTTGTCAAGGTTTTTTCCATTTATCTCTTTGAAGATGAAGCGACTTTTGCGGGAATACTTTTGCAAAAGCATCAAAGTGAAACAATAACAGTCTATAAGTTACAAAAGAGTTTAAAAGATCTGGTAAGAGTTCACATACACAAACAAAGACAATGATGAAATTGACAACTAAATTTGGTTCTTCTTGTGACATACATTTAAAAATCATGGCTGGGGCGCCTGGGTGGCACAGTCGGTTAAGTGTCCGACTTCAGCCAGGTTACGATCTCGCTGTCCGTGAGTTCGAGCCCCGCGTCGGGCTCTGA